CCTCTCTTTCTGCCTTTCCCTTCTCTCTATAAATAGATAGATAAATAATACAGTCCACCCCTTGTTTGTCCACTACGCAAACTCTTTATCCCATATCTTCAACTATATTTAAAAAAAAAATCAAACATCAGCCACGGTGGCCAGGTGTTCATGCTGATGTCACTTTTTTCTTTTCCTTTTTTAATGATTTTATTTATTTACTTTAGACAGAGGGGAAGAGAGGGAGAAAAAGAGGGAGAGAAGCACTGATATGTGAGAGACCACATCCAGGGGTTGCTTTTTGCACAGCCCCAACTGGGGACTTGGCCGGCAACCCTTGGGCCATGTGCCCTGACTAGGAATCGAACTGGCGACCTTTCAGTTTGCAGGCCTGCGCTCAGTCCACGGAGCCACAGCAGCCGGGCGTGACGTCACTTTTCAATCCTTTGAGGTCTTGCTATCATGGCGAAGCAGAATTCACCAAGCAGTTGGATTGTTCCCCCACCAACTCCACCTGTCAATCAGTAACTCGGGCGACCTGGGGTGAGCGAGCTCAGGGCGGACAGACACCTCCCGGGACTAAAGGGCTGGCGCTCGCTCCATCTCTCCGTTCAGTGTGAACCCGGACTGGCAAAGCGGGGCCTCGGGGTCCTTCCGACCTGACGACCTGACGGGATTTCAGCAGGAAGTGTCAGGAGAGTTACCACCGCAGTAGCTGGCTTGGCGGGGCGAAATGGCACCCGCTGTTCCCGGTGATTGGACCTCCGTTCTTGAGTTTGGCAAAGGAAGAAGAATTCAGAGCCGAGGAACTCAAATTATAAACATGTAACATTCCGCTCTCACAAGCAAGAAGGGTCGGAGACAGTCGGGCAGTCAAAGATGTTTTATTGGCCAAAGTTTCAAAGTTTTACCTGCGCAGGGGTGAACTCTCGGGGTGTCCGGAGACACGGTGCCAAAATGGCTACAAATGAGAGTCGCCCCTAACGCTTACAGGCTGGGGTTCTTATAGAAGCGGGCAAGCAAGCGGGTTTCCAGAAGCAAAGGTGGCAGTTAGCGATAAACGAGCTCAGGTGTGAAGCACTTAACAACAACTCCGTTTTGACCAATTCCTAACTCTCTGGGACACCTGCCTGGGGTGGGTGCAGTTTCTACTCAGGCTTGAGCGAGCAGTCTTGGGTTGAGCAAACAGCTTAGCACAAACAACTTATTTCCTCGACTCTAACAAAGCACATGTTTATTTAGAAAGAGAGGGCCAGGAAAAGAAAGTGAGGTACAGGAGCGCTCCAGAGAGGGAGAGCATGGATGCTGGTTCCTCTTTCTTACGTTTTTTTTTTCATCAGTGGGGTGGGGGTGGGAGGCTTCCAGTAAAGACTGGAAAACCTACTAGAGCAGTTGTAAGCGCTTGTCTTGAGGGTTTTTTTTTTATTTTTTGTTTTTTAAAGCTTGTATTCATTTATCTTTAGAGGGGAAGGGAAGGAGAGAGGGAGAGAAATATCAATGTATGGTTGCCTCTCTTGTGTCCCCTGCTGAGAACTGGCCTGCAACCCAGGCATGTGCCCTGACTGGGAATCAAATAGAGATTCTCTGATTCGCAGGCCCTGGGCTCAATCCACTGAGCTACACCAGCCAGGGTTTAAGGGTGTTATCTGAATTCTAGGAGTGGGGTTAGGGGAGAATCCAATACAATATTCATCAGCTTTATGCTGATGACTCAAAATGAGGTTTATTCCCCTGACTTCATCTACCCTTGGGTGACGCTGGCAAACAGCACTAACCGGATTTCTGCTAATGAGTTCCCAGAGTAGGGTAATTTAAGCTCTTTACCCTCTGGTTGGGAGGGGAAGTGTAAACCATTTACTCTAAAGCGTCCGTAGTTAGGGAAGTTAAGAGGGCTGTAAATTGCTTGGCTGTTTAATATGTGTTTCAGTTTCCCTAATCCACTGGTCCTAGTTTGCTAGTCTGCCTCAGAATGACGCACCCCTGCCGTGGCTTCAGGGATTGAGTGCCAGCCAAAGAGTCACTGGTTCGATTCCCAGTCAGGACACATGCCCGCATTGCGGGCCAGGTTCCCAGTAGGGGGCATGCGAGAGGCAAGCATACATTAATGTTTCTCTCTCTTTCTCTCCTTTCCCCTTTCTCTCCTGTCCCCTCTCTCTAAAAATAAATACGGTCTTTCAAAAAAATAATAATAATAACCTAGATTGACCATGATAGATAGATACATCCAATGTGAAAAGTGGAAATCCCTGGCCCTGGGCCCAGAACCCATACGGAAGAACCCCTTTTGCACTGTATGTGATAATATAAGAAAATTCCTGCAGGTACATGTGTTCCAGGCGGTTTCACTCTGAGAGGTGAAGTCAAGCGCCTAGAATCACACGGCTCACAAGTGTGGGAGCCTGGCGTGGGCAGCTCGTGGCGAAAGTGCGTGTGTTGAACCTGACCCCTAACTTGTGGGCATGGGCCCGAAGACAGTCTCCTGGGCGTCCACTGGGCCGTGACCTGAAACTTATTCAGCAAACGCAGCCTTTCTGGTTCCTTTCACTCAAGTCCAAGGGGTGGGAGCGGGTGGTACCTAGGAGTCTATTTCTGCAGGGCCTCAGCACTCCCAGTCAAGTTGGGTAAGTTCAAGTTCAGGCACCTAGCTGACCAACCTGAGCTTCCTGTGGAAAGATGGCTTTCGCTTGATTCTAATGGGCTCTGAGTGTTTGGGGGACTATAACACAAAAGCAGTTATGTTGCTGGACTAGGTCCCGTGCCAACTGGTATTGGTCACAACCAAGGCTAAGGGACCACACCTGCATAGCTCCTGGCGTCTCCCTGGGCCCAACCAGGCCACACCCTGCTCGGTTCCACACGAGCGTCCTTCACCGATTTCACCAGACTCAGGCCCTGAGCCTGACCTTCTGACAATCTCTCATCTCTCCTCTGCCTTTATGCTGAGGCTCCCAGATTCCCAGCCAATGAAAGCCTACCCTGGAAAAAGTTTTCAAGGAGTGGGTAGAGCCCTGGCTGGGTAGTTCAGTGGGTTAGAGTGTCGTCCAGATATGCCAAGGTTGTGGCTTCGATCCCAGGTCAGGGCACATACAAACAGCAACCAGTGAATGCTTCGATAAGTGGAACAACAAACTGATGTTTCTCTCTCTCTCTAAGATAAGTTTTTTAAAAGAGTTACAAAGAGTGGGTGGGCACTTCACATTTACAGGAAAGGAAAAAGGAAGTCTTCAGAGGAGCTGAAGGCCCTTGCCTCTTTGACCTCTGTAACGCCAAGGGATAATAGCGCTGCCTCTCCTCCCTGGCTTCTGGCCTGGGAAAGGGAGTTGGAACCAGCTCCGTTCCTGCTTTCCTTGGCTCACAGCCGCTCTGCGTGGCTCAGCAACCACAGCTTCGAAGCCTCATGCCTTTGGGGCCTCTGCTTTGTCCCAAGGGTTCCCAGGCGACCGGTTACCTTCTGCACTTTACAAACCGCTGGTTCAGGCGCGATGCCCCCCACTCCGGTGACACCAGAGTCCCCAGTGCTCCTGGCACTTCTGTGCTCTGCAGCCGCCCCCTTGCATGGGAAGGATTTCCGTGAGAATCAGAGTTGATGAGAACAGACTGCACAATTGCTCAGATGTAAGGGATATGGCTGGGATTTCGTGGCCCAGACAGGCAGCTCCGCTGAGAACTTTGCACATATGTTCGGGTATTTTATGGTTACCAGCGCCTTCTGCTTCAGCCCCAAATCGATCTGTCCCGGCTTCTCCAACCTGTACCCTTTCTTTCTACGTCCCCTGTGGGTCATAGAATGATATCCGTTTGGTCTCTGTCCCCAGTTCCTGGCAGACAGCTCATAAAATCATCCGCATTTCCCAAGTGGTAAGAGTAATAGGAGTGTCCATTGTTCTGATAAGGAAATTCTAGATAGATTCAGGGTGGGATCTGGCTACCAGAGAAAGCAAGTCTTGGTTAGAAGACTGAAACTCGGTGCGCCACCCCTCATCCTCTGGGGAAGGGAGCGGGGCAGAAGGTGGAGTTCATACCCCACGGTCAATGATTTTCTTTTTCTGATCAGGGCACGCACGTGCCTGGGTTGTAGGTTCCATCCCTGGTTGGGGTGCATAGAAGAGGCAACCGTTCAGTTTCTCTCTCATGTCAGTGTTTCTCTGCCTCCCTCTCCCTCTCTCTACACAAATAAATGAGTAGGTAAATAAATATTAAAGAAAAAGTCACTCTTCCATGACACCTAACGTAGAAAGTTTCACTCACGCAGAGGGCTTCTGGGCTGGGGGGGCGTGTGGAGGCGCTGGGAGGGCAGTGGCAGGAGAGGGCGTGGAAGCTCCGCCCCTTCCGCCCCCCACTCCATCTGGTTCTTCCTGCCTTCCACTGTCCCTAATGACATGATCGCCTTTCTTTCTTTCTTTCTTTCTTTCTTTCTTTCTTTCTTTCTTTCTTTCTTTCTTTCTTTCTTTCTTCCTTCCTTCCTTCCTTCCTTCCTTCCTTCCTTCCTTCCTTCCTCCTCCTCTCTTTCTTTCTTTCTTTCTTTCTTTCTTTCTTCCTTCCTTCCTTCCTTCCTTCCTTCCTTCCTTCTTTCTTTCTTTCTTTCTTTCTTTCTTCCTTCCTTCCTTCCTTCCTTCCTTCCTTCCTTCCTTCCTTCCTTCCTCTCTTTCTTTCTTTCTTTCTTTCTTTCTTTCTTTCTTTCTTTCTTTCTTTCTTTCTTTCTTTTCTTCCTTCTTTCTTTCTTCTTCCTTCTTTCTTTCTTTCTTTTTTTTTTTTTGCAGCTTCCCCAAATCTGCAGAAAAATCAGATTGGCTTATTTCTTGTTCAACCAACAGCCAGAAGAAGAGATGCACTGGCCTGAGTCTTGGACAAACAGCTTCCATTGTTTGGGGAGCTGCCCCCCCCCACCCCCGTGAGGCTGCTATGGAAAGAGCATTCCGATTCCTCCACCTGGAAGCCAGCAGCCGATGATTGCATCAATCACGCCTCCATAACAAAACCCTCATAACAGCCCTAAACAATGGGGTTCAGAGGGCCTCTGAGTTGTTGGGCATGCCCATGAGTCTGGAGGTTGTGCCCCCAACCCCACCAGCACAGACGTTCCTGCGTTCAGCAGGGACCCTTCTGGAGTCCTTCTTCTTCTGACACCCTGTGCGCCTCTTCTTCTGACTGGTCGTCATTATTATAAATGTCAGTAAAGCATCTTCCTGAGTTCTGTGAGCCATTCTAGCCAATTAGCAGGCCCGAAGAGGGGTCCTGGGAACCCCGGATTTACAGCCGGTCGGTCAGAGTATAAATGACCCCGGACTGGAGATTGGCGTCTGGAGTTGGAGGGGAGAAAAAAAAAACTCTCATGAGCCAACTGCCTTTAGAGCCTTTTTTTTAAGGTTTTATTTATTTATTTTTAGAGAGAGGGGAAGGAAGGGAGAAAGAGGAGAGAAACATCAATGTGTGGGTGCCTCTTGCACACCCCCTACTGGGGACCTGGCGCGCAGCTCAGGTATGTGCCCTGACAGGGAATCAAACCGAAAACCTTTTGGTTCTCAGACTGGCACTTAATCCACTGAGCCACACCAGCCAGGGCTAGAGCCTTTTAGTAAAAATTCTCAAGAGAGAGAATTGGCCAACGCATCCTACAGAGCCAGCCTGCACTTGCTATAGGCTGTGGCCAGTGAGTTGAGGAAGCACTACGAAGCCCCCCCAGGGGTCTCTCTCACACTCAGTGTGCTCCGCCCAGGAGAGGGGGCTTGCCAAGTGGTTAAGCTCTGGATGGCCCAGCCAATGTCCCTTCAAAGGGGATACAGATGGGCAGGTCGTGCAAAGATGGACATCTCTAGAAACTGGATCCTCAGTACATAGTAGGTTCATACACTTGTACTCGCCATACAGACAGCTACATATGTATCACACACAACTAAACACACAATAAAGGTGCCCACAATGTATGTCCACATATATATACACACACAAACCACATTCCCAATGACCTGCACACTCTGTGTACGAGTATACTGCATACCCACATGTATACAATGTATACACACCACCGTAATGTACACAAGTCCATTTGTAGACAACACACACACATACACATGATGTACAGATACCCATATGCACACACACACTGTGTATACAACACACCCACCTACAGACAATGCATGTGCCCTGTGCACACCCACCATGCCTAGCTGTCCATACGTGTACACACACCCGCACAACGCACGCTAAGAGCAAACCTGCAAACACATCTGAGTACTCACACTCACTCACCTGCACAGAAAAAGCAAACCCACACTCACACACACCTACACGATGTGTGCACACGCAGCTGCCCCTCTCAGCCCCCGGCTAATGCTCCCCGCTCTCCCTCCCCCCACAGCCATGCTCAGCATTCAGGGGCCTTTCTACTTCCTCCTTGTCTTCACGGCTTCCGTCATATTCCACCTCCAGCAGCGGGCAGTGAAGATTCAACCCATAACAAAGAAGGCACAGATGCTGGACCCGGTGACGACCGCGAACAGCACGAGCCAGCCACCCAGGGGCATGTGGACCATCAACTCGATAGGCCGCCTGGGGAACCAGATGGGCGAGTACGCCACGCTGTACGCCCTGGCCAAGATGAACCGCCGCCAGCCCTTCATCCCCGCGCAGATGCACAGCACGCTCGCGCCCATCTTCAGAATCACCCTCCCGGTCCTGCACGACGCCACGGCCAGCAGGGTCCCCTGGCGGAACTACCACCTGAACGACTGGATGGAGGAGCGCCACCGCCACATCCCCTGGGAGTTCGTGCGCCTCACCGGCTACCCCTGCTCCTGGACCTTCTACCACCACCTGCGCCCCGAGATCCTGCGGGAGTTCACCCTGCACGACCACGTGCGCGAGGAGGCCCAGAGGCACCTGCGGGGTCTGCAGGTGAGAGGGGGCCGGCCGAGCACCTTCGTGGGGGTCCACGTGCGCCGGGGGGACTACGTGCACGTCATGCCGCGGGTGTGGAAGGGCGTGGTGGCCGACCGGACGTACCTAGAGCAGGCGCTGGACTGGTTCCGGGCCCGCTACAGCGCCCCCCTCTTCGTGGTCACCAGCAACAACATGGACTGGTGCCGGCAGAACATCGATGCCTCCCGGGGCGACGTGGCCTTTGCTGGCAACGGCGTGGAGGGCTCCCCGGGCAAGGACTTCGCGCTGCTCATGCAGTGTAACCACACCATCATGACCATTGGGACCTTCGGGGTCTGGGCCGCCTACCTCGTGGGGGGAGTCACCATCTACCTGGCCAACTACACCCTCCCGGACTCTCCCTTTCTCAAAGTCTTTAAGCCAGAGGCGGCCTTCCTGCCGGAGTGGATCGGGATTGCGGCAGACCTGTCCCCGCTACTCAAGCACTGAGGGCAGCCTGCCTGGGGCACTTCCTTCTCCTTGTCTGCCTCCGCCCCATCCATTCTGAGGCATAAAGAGCACAGTTCCCTATACCAGGACCCGTCCCTCTTGCATCGAAATACTCCTGACTGCGAGAAACGGAAGTCCCACGGAACTTGTTTAATTAACAGGGCTCAGTGAACTGAGCACTGGCCTGCAAACCAAAAGGTCGCAGGTTCGATTCCCAGTCAGGGCACATGCCTGGGTTGCAGACCAGTTCCCAGCAGGGGACCCACGAGAAGCAATTCTACATTGACATTTCTCTCCCTCTCTCCTTCCCTTCCCCTCTAAAGCTAAATAAATAAAATCTTTTTTAAAAAGCCATTAATCTGTTGATGAAACTCCATCATGTGTCATGTACAGTGCCCCCATTTTGAATTTGGCCGGTTGAGTCCCTTGGTGCCATTCAGGATGTTCCTGTGTTCCCCTCTACTTCCGGCTAACCAGAGTGAGAACTCAAAAGTGTCTGTGGGAATCTGTTAGCACAATAAAATGAAAGCTTTGCTGGGAAAAACATATATATTGAAAATACACCCTGAAGAATAAACCTGAGCGATTTCCACAGCCAGGAAGCAGGGCTCTCAGGCCAGGGTGGTAACAGCGGAAGTGAGGCCAAGTGATCAGTGAGACGATTAGACCTCGAGGTTTCCCACGGAGCTACGGTCGTCGTGACCACGTGGTACTGGCATAAAAGATAGACAAATGGAATTCAAAGCGGAGTCCAGAAGCGGGATGCCCATATGTGACCACTTGATTCACGACAAAGGCATCAACACGATTCAATGGGGAGAATGAAAGAGCTTTTCTTTTTAACAAGAAAAAAGATTTTAGCCCTGGCTGGTATAGCTCAGCGGATTGAGCACAGGACTGCGAACCAGAGGATCGCGGTTCAATTCCCAGTCAGGGCACATGCCTGGGTTGCAGGCCAGTTCCCGGCAGAGGATGCACTAGAGGCAACCATACATTGATGTTTCTCTCCCTCTCTCCTTCCCCTCTAAGGATAAATAAATAAAATCTTTAAAAATATATATTAAAAAAAAAGAAAGAAAAAAGATTTTATTTCTTTTTAGAGAGGGGGAAGGGAGAAAGAGAGGGAAAGAAACATCAGTGTGTGGTTGCCTCTTGAGCGCCCCCTATAGGGGATGGGGGCTGGCGTACAATCCAAGCATGTGCCCTGACTGGAAATCAAACTGGCGACCCTTTGCTTCACAGTCCGCCCCTCAGTCCACTGAGCCACACCAGCCAGGGCAAAAGAGCTGTTTGATGAGTGGAAGCAACCCATTATCTCTATGGAAAAAGGGAATCTTGACCCCTACCTCACACCGTATAAAACCACCAATTCACCATGGGTCACAGACCAAAGTGTGCAAACTAAAAGCATAAAGCTTCTAGAATAAAATATGGAAGAATAACTCATAGCTTCATGACCTTGGATTTGGGCAAAGGTTTCTTAAGTAGGACAGTAAAAAAGTCACCATAAAAAATTTTGATATATTGGACTTCATTAAAAGTAAGGACTTTTATTCATTAAAAGACACTTCAGGTTTATAATATCTACATTTCCAAAGGCCGGTGTCCAGAACATACAAAGAATGTCTATGAGTCAGTAAGAAAAAGGCAAGCCTTTCAGTAGAAAACATGTAAAAAAAACCCCACAAAACAGACACTTCACAGTGATATTCAATTAGCAGTGAGAACGTGCTGATTTTCGAGTTGCTTATCATCCTTTCTCCTCGGTCACAGTCCCAAGGTCTCCCCCAGCTGCTCGGTGGCCTCTGGTCTCACTGCTTTTGTCCCCAGCTCACCCTTTATACCGCGCACAGCCTGGGACAGGGCTTGTTTTTCAGGTCACTCAAGGTTCAGGAGGCTGATGGCAGGTGGTGAGCCGTTAGGGCAGGAGGCGAGTTCCCCTGGGACCCTTCCTCGCCGCTGTGTCTCCTCTCACCGCCTAGGGAACCACGCGGACCCCACCGCTCTGCACGAGGCTCCGCCCATTAGCCACCAGTGTGACCTCATTTATTTAAAGCCCCAAACTGGGGAACCGGAACACCAACACTTAGGTGCCCATGGACAGGGCCCGGCAGAAGTCGAGCCACTGAGTGTGGTTGGTGGCGCACGTGAGTGTCTCGCATGAGATGGGCAGCAATTCGAACACGTCACCCGCCATGTCCCATGGGGTGCCTGCAGGTGATATCGCCGTGTTACAGACTGACATGCTTATGACTTTGCAATAAAAGATTCCTGTGTAACAAAGCAGAGGTGGTATTTGTGCCCAACCGTGCATTGATAGTAAAGCAATAAGGAAAAGCAACGGCATGACCAGGACAAAAATCAGGATGCTGGTGACATCTGGGAGGTGATGAGGGACCAAATGCAAGGACCTCAAGACCTGTCTTTCCAGGGAGGGGGATGGGTGGAGCTGGAAGAGGATATAAGGGGGATAATGGTAATGGGGAAAAAATACAATGAAAGTAAGCAAGTAATTTTTAAAAAGAGCTACTTTGTTAAAAGAGCTAATTTGTTAAATATCCGTGTATGCCTCATGCGTTTTTCCCTGTGTTTTATTTCACGGTTATTTTATTATTCTTTAAAGATGACTTTTGGAGAGGGAAGGGAGGGAGAGAAACAGCAATGCGTAGTTGCCTTTCGTGTGCCCCCTACTGGGGACCTGGCCCACAACCCAAGCATGTGCCCTGACTGGGAATTGAACCTGCAGCGTTTCGGTTCACAGGCCGGCACTCAATCCACTGAGCCACACCAGCCAGGGCTAGTTCACAGTTGTGAATGGAAAAGAAAAGGTTTCTCTGGGGCTGCAGTGTGGGAGGCTGGGGAAGCAGGCTCCCATGTAGGCCCAGGGTAGCACAGCATTGTAGAGCTTCACGTGGTGGTGGGAATGTCCTCCACCCGCGCTGTCCACTATGGTAGCCACGGGCCACCTCTGTCCACTGAGCACGTGCAATGTGACAAGAGTGACCGCAGGACGGAATTGTTCTGGGCAATTCCGTTGCATGTAACTTGCTTTACTATGAATTTAAATAGGCCCATGCGGCTAATGACTGGCGTCTTGGGCGGCACAGGGCTAGATGTTTTGAAGAAAAAATCAGCCCTGCCCTGTGTGGCTTACTTGGTTGGAGCGTCACCCAGTAAACCAAAAGGTTGCAGGTTCGATTCCCAGTCAGGGCACATGTGCTAGGTTGCGGGCTTGGTCCCCAGTTGGGGCGTAGGCAAGAAGCAACTGATGGATGTATCTCTCTCACATTGATGTTTCTCTGTCACATTGATGGATGTTTCCCCCTTCTCGCTCCCTTCCTTCCCTTCTCTTTAAAATCAACAAGCTTATCCTGGAGTGAGGATAAAAAAAACATAACACCGAAACCCCCTCTCTCAGCTACGCACCCTTAGCAAAGCAGCCCCCTCCCAGCAAAATTCCTCAACAAAACCCCCCACTCAAAACCCCTCCCCCACAAAGAACCCCCACCGGAATCCCTCTGCTGAAATCCCCTCTCCGAACAGAACCCCCCCCCCCCAGCTGAAAAGCCCTCTCCCATCAGGACCCTCCTCTTGCACTGGAAGCCTCCAGAGCCTCTCCTTAACACCGCCCGCCCCTGAGTGAAACATCTAGAAAAGAATCGCACACAGAGGGGGGTGTAGAGGGGCATTGCTCCCCCCTGACCTCAGCCACGCTCAGCCAAAAACTCTGCGGAATAGCTGGCTTGTTCTCCCCGGCCGGCTGAGCTCAGGAAAAGGAGGCAGATTTGTCCCGACCTCCTAGGGAGCCCGCGCTGATTCGCGGCTCTTCCTGCCCGGTCAGGTCCAGAGCCGCCTGGCGGAGAGGCTGGTGTGGAATTTTATTCAGGGGGCAGCGAATGCAGTGGGTTCCCCTGCTTCTGGTCTGAATCTTGCGCCCTCTGTCACCTCCATACCATTCCCATTCTCCAGATCTTCTTTTTAAAGATTTATTTATTTATCTCTCTTTTTCTTTATTTGGGAGAGAGAGAAAGGGAGGGAGAAAGAGCGGGAGAGGAACATCAATGTACAAGAGAAATATCCATCAGCTGCCTCTCGTGTGCCCCTGAAAGGGACCCTGGCCCGCAACCCAGGCATGTGTCCTGACTGGGAATCGAACCGGTGACCTGCCAGTTCACAGGCCAGTGCTCAGTCCACTGAGCCACACCAACCAGAGGTCCATTCTCCAGAATTTAAAAAATTAAGTGCAGATGGTGTGACTGAGCTCATCTGGCCCCTGAGCTAGCAGACGGCAGGAACAACCCGTGTAGGATCGGAGGCTGGATTGGCGGCTTAGAGTGGATTGGGTTGTGGGTAGAGTGGATTGGGTTGAACATCCCCAAAAGGTATGTTCAAATCCTAAACCCCAGCACCTGTGAACGTGACCTTATTTGAAAATGGCCCTTAAAGACCTAATCAAGTTCAGCTGCAGTCTCTAGGGTGGGCCCTAAGCCAATATGACTGGCCTCATGAAAAAGGGAGATTTGGGCACAGAGACAGAGATGCACAAGGAGAATGCCAAGTAAAAGCAAAAGATAGTCTGGCTCGTGTGGCTCAGTGGATTGAGCACCGGCCTGGGAACCAAAAGGTTGCAGGTTCAATTCCCAGTCAGGGCATGTGCCTGGGTTTTAAGCCAGGTCCCCCAGTAGGGGGCGCATGAGAGACAACCACACATTGATGTTTCTCTTTCTCCCTTCCCTCTCTCTAAAAATAAATAAAATATTTTTTTAAAGATGAATCCAGGGATTGGGGTGATACATCTACCCGCCAAGGAACCCCAGTGATCACCTCCAAACCCCCAGATGCTGGGAGAGAGGCAGGGAACAGATGCTCCCTCATGACTCCAGAAGGAACCAAGCCTGCCAAAACCTTGACCTTGGACTTCTAGCTTCCAGAATTGTGGGACAATCCATGTCTGTGGTTTAAACCACTCAGCTTGGGGGAGGGCAGCCCTGGGAAGCTACTATAGTGCGTGAGGAAGCAGGAGGACAGAGAACTCCAGTCAGATTCTGGCCGTCCCCCTGTCTGGCCATTTTCATTCAATTAAATGATGCCCACGGTCATGGGCTGTTTCTTCCATGAACTGGCGTTCCTGAGGGTTCTATCCATGGCCCGGGGTTCTCCCGGGATGATTTCACAGTTTCACATACTGTAGATAAGTGCTTGTTGCATTTTTATTTTGGGGACAGAAGCTTCCCCTTTGACCAAAAAAAAAAAAAAGTTAAACAATAGCATAACTTCAAAAATTTCACAAGTAGAGAGTGCTAAGCCAGGCAAGCGCTGCCAGATGTTAAAAAATAACGTTAAGCCTCAATCAATAAAACAGCGTGATCCCAGTATATGGAAAACAGATGAAGAGAATTTGCCTAGAAAAGTCAGAAATGAACAGAAACCCACTGGAGAATGTAATGGATTTTGACGGTGGTATTACAAATTTGGGATGAAAAGACGGATTCTTAGCAAACCATACTGAGCCATCTACGGGGAGATAAGCATGTGGAAAAAGAAAAAAAAAACCTTAAGCTGTGAAAACTTTAAAAATTAAATTTATAAATGTAAAAGGCTCATATGTCATTTTGGGGGTGTGTGTGGTTTAAAATATGGAACCCTACAAACGTTGGCAATTTACTTTTTTTTTTAAGATTTTATTTATTTATTTATTTTCAGCGAGAGGGAAGGGGAAGGAGAAAGAGAGTTAGAGGAACATCCATGTGTGGTTGCCTCTCAGGTGGCTCCCACTGGGGACCTGGCCTGCAACCCAGGCATGTGCTCTGACTGGGAATTGAACTGGCAACTCTTTGGTTCGCGGCCCGGGCTCAATCTACTGAGCTATGCCAGCCAGGGCCTGATAACTTACTTTCTTTTTTTTTAAGCTGCTACATAGGAACCATATATCCAATCCCTTCGGTAGTTGCAAAAGGTCCCATCCAACTGACTGACGGCGGTGGCACACGCATCCTCCAAGGAAAGGGTTTTAGGTTGTCCGCTGGGCTTTGTTACTATAACTAATGCGGAGAAGCACGTCCTTGTCGCTAGTCCCGCTCGGCTGTAGTGTGACAAACCTTTTCTGCATGCGAACTAATACTGCGTTTTTAGGATATATTATTAGAAGTGAATTTGCTGAGTCATGGAGTATGCGTTACAGCGCAGCACAACCCGGTGACTTGTGACACTATTACGCTCTGTCCAACTGCGGGCGGGCGTGAACGTCTGTTCTCCCGCGGTCTCGCGGTCACAGGATGGCCAGTGTGATGCAGGGGGTCCCCGCCCCCGCCAGGGCTGCTCGGGACCCCCAGCAAACTTCCTGCTTCCTTTGCCCCCACATTGGGCCAACTCTCGGTTTTCCCCACCCCCTGGGGGGGGGGGGCCCAGCCTTCTCAGGGGCAGGAAGTTGCGGCTGAAAGGTCTGCAGAAGCCGGTGGGCAACAGGCCTCAGTGAAGCATGCAGGGTCCAAGCCCTCCTCTCAGGTTCCGAGGTCCAACTTGCCCGCCTCCTCCCACGCGCGTTCTTTGGAACGTCCACCTTCCAGAGAATTCCTCAGCCTCCACGCCTGACTTGAGGGCTGTTCCCAAGGCCTCACAGGCTTGCAGCCCAAGGCTGCCCTCCTCTGGACATAGTACAGATGGAGACAGTGGCAAGGACGGGGAATTGGCAGAGATGTGAACAGATTAATATGGAGATAGTTACAGGCATAGAAGCGTCGGGAGAGACATAGAGACAGAGGGCGTCTTCCACGCCCCTTCTTGATGTTCCCAGGGCTGACTGCTCCCCTTTGCCACCAGCTGTCGGCCTGACCTGAAGGGTCCTGCAAGACCCAGCAGCCCCAACCTTTTGCTCCAGGAACCTGACCGCACATGGTTCCCCACGTGGTGGGGGCCTCAGGCCTTTGTCTGTTGGTCTGCCTCCACAGGACGCCGGCTTCCAGGTGGTTCCTCTGTGCAGCTCTTCCTGATCCTTGAAATTCCAGCAAAATCCTTCCCCTGGCCACTCTGGGCCTCTCCCCACGGCTTCTGGTCTTTCCTGGGAGTCACGGCCCTGCGATCTCCCATGTCGCTGCTGTGAAAACCCTTATCACCTTACATCCAGGCTCTCTCTCTGCAAATGTCTGAGCTTCACCAGAGCAGAGACGGAGGATCTTCGTCTTTTCAACTCTGAGGACACATGCTGTGGACTCCCTAACCTGACGGAAAACCCCGCTCTGTCTGTGTGGCCCTGGGCACATCACCCCCCTTCTCTGATTTTCAGTGATGTCATCTGGAAAGGCAGGGCGGAAAATCCTACCTGATGCATTGTCGCCTTTGCCTCGTGGTACCAAGCATTTGTTGCCTTGTTTTCTGGGGGGAATCTCTAACAGCCACTAGCTTTCTGCACACTGAGGCACCATTGGCGCAGCCTTGGCCAGTGTGATTCAGTGGGTTGGTAACTGAAGGGCCACAGGTTCGATTCCAGGTCAGGGCACATGCCTGGGTTGGGGGCTCAGTCCTTGGTCGGGATGTGTTCAAGAGGATATTGATTGATGTTTCTCTCCCTCTCCCTCCCTTCCCCCCTGTCTAAAATCCATAAGTATGTCCTCAGGGGAGGATAAAAAAATAAACAGAATATTTATTAACACATCTCACACACCAGGTCCGGTTTGTAGACTATCTGGGCGAACTCTCTCAGCCACACTGGGCTGCTGGCACAGATGAGGACACTGTCAGCAAGACAAGGGGGCATCCCTGGCTCCAGGTCCTGTCCCAGGGACTGATCCGTGTCCCTTTCCACCTGTAGTGAACGCTTCTCAGTTCTGCTCTCCCAGCCCCCCCACCGCTGAGAGCTTCATGCATTAATCGTGCCCTTTTTTTCCTTCTGCATTGGTGGTGCTTTGACATCGGGGGCCCGGCTGACAGGGCCGGTTAACTCCTGGAGGAGTTCATCACAAGCGCACCAGTGCCCCGGCCTTTCCCGTGCGGGCCCAGCAACCCACAGCCCAGACTCCTGTCCCTTCCCTCTTCCAGAGGTTACACTCCAGGACCTGACCCTTCAGCCCGATCTCCCCAGGGCCAGGTTCCAGGTACCTCAGGACCCCACGAGGCTGCTGAAATCATACAAACCAGCCAACCTGAAGCCTGCTTACCCTGCCCCGTGTGTTCCTTCTTGAGGAAGCCACAGAAAATGCTCTCCCCATGGTTCCTCTCTCTCTCTGCCTCCCAGCTGACCCTGGGGCTTCCCGGTGTGGCCCTGTATGGCTTGGGGTGCTCTGTTCTTTGGGGATCTGTGAGAATAACAAACTGCCTTTTTTATTTGGGGAGGGGGGGATAGGAAAAGGGAGGGAGGAAGAACCATCGATGTGAGAGAGAAACATCCATTGGTTTCCTCTCTAGGCACCCCTGACTGGGACCAGGGGAAAAAAAAAAAACCCTCAACCCAGGCATGTGCCCTGGCCGGGAATCGAACCAGAGACCTTCCACTTTGCAGAAGGACGCCCAACCAACTGGGGCCACACCCATCCGGACTAACAGACTGTCTTTTCAACGGCAACCATCTGACCTATTGGCCTCACTTGGAATAACATCATCTGCATGTTAAAACACTGTGCTGCTAACAAATTACCCTGTGGCCTTCTTCTCAGGGTTCCTCTTGGGGTCAAAGTGCTTGGGAGTTTGTGCCCCGGCCCCCTTTCAGGACACGGAGCCCATGACTAGCGAGAGAGGTATAGTAGCAAGTCTCCAAATGTGGCCCCCAATGACCATGCCATCCCCCCTCTCTAAAATCCATAAGTATCTCCATATTAACACCTTGGAGTAGCCCCCTCCCATATTCAGCCCGGGTTGGCCTGACTCGCAATAAACCAATACGAACGGTGGAAGGGACATTGGGCCTCTTCCAAGTTTAGTCTCTGAGAGACCAGCAGCTTCTGCTTGCTCTCCTACAGAGGGCCGCTTTGGGGAAGACCTGAGCTACCACGTAAGGGGTCCATGTCTCCATGGGAGAGACCACCTGGGGAGGGAAGGCACTGAGACCGCACAGAGGACGAGAGAAGTCCAGCTGCCCCCAGCCCCGGGGAGTCCAGCCCCAGAGCCACCCCTGCCAAGGCTCTGGACACGGATCCTTGTTGGATCCATGTTGGACCTTGCAGCCCTAGCTGACAGCGTGCGGTGCTGAAGAACCACCTGGCTGAGCCCAGTCAACCCACGGCATTGTGAGCAACTGTGGATAGTGATCCTTTTAAGACACTACGTTTTGAGGTGGTTTGTTATTTCAGCTTTAAAAACCTGAACGGGGATCTCCCTTTGCCCTCAAGGGCCAGGTCCATTTACTTCAAGGTGGGAAAGACTCTGCACCTTCATTTACCCTCAGGGAGCAGGCTGAGGTTGGGACTTCACCAGACAGCACACTCCTGGTGGGCTTCTTCCCTTTTGCTGTCGTGTTTCATCTGCTCCCTTTTGCTTTCTCCTGGGAGCATTTCTTTAATAACTCACGGACACGTGGATCTCATCTCGGGCTCTAGTTCCAACACAGTCTGACCTCGGATGTAACGGTTCTGATTTCCTCATTTCCACCCGAAAGCTGAGGGAAGCCTAGTTCTCCATTCTCCCTCCCCACTCTTTCCTGCCCCTCTCCTGCATCCATAAAAAAGCATACACCACCTTCCAGATGCCCCAGCAACAAGTAGCCACGTAGTGGGTAGGATGAGGAGAAGAAGACATCCAAGAGGTCTCGGAAGGAAGCAGCAAGCAGATTGTTTGCCCTGGCCAGCAGCAAATGAAACCTCCCTTCCCCCAACACACACCCGTGGAGGTCAGGGCAGGCGAAGGTCAGGGGGTCGGCACGTCGTCGGCAGCATTTAGGGGCCAGGTGGAGACGAGGGTTGTTCCTGATTCTGGGTTTGTGGTGGGAGGGGATTCCGCTGGTTGTGCCAACTCCTCCCTCAAGGAGTCTTGTCTCTGTGACCTCCCCATCCCTACCAGTTCTCGGTCCCTTGAAAACCCAGAATCTGTCACCAAGGACCCTCCAGCAGGTCCCACAGCCGGGTGCCACCGGAATCAGATAGATCAGCAGAGAAGATGCTGGGGGCCGGGGCGCCACAGCCCAGCGGAGGACCCCCGCTCAGAGCTTCCAGCCAGTCCAAAGAGTCCATGGGGCCCCTGGGAGAGGGGGATGGGGAGTTTGTGGGGGACGGGAGCGAGGAAGAGAAGACAGATGAGAGGCCCTCGGAGTCTGGGGACGGGGACAGCACATCGAAAGAGCCTGGGAAGTCCAGGGGGATAGGGGGAAGCAGGTCTGCGAGGGAAGAAAGGGAGTGTGAACTTAGGAAGGCAGGGATCCAGACCCCAGACCCCTAGGGGCTTCCCGTTTCCAGGAGTCCAGAACCTCAGCCCCCTTTACTCCTAAATCTAGGAGTACGACTCTTACCATCAGACTCCACCTGATCCTCCAGGATGTCCTCGATGCCCCGGTTCGGAAGCAACTGCGGACGGGCAGAAGCGGAGTGAATCTTGGACTCCGGCCTGAATCCTGACCAGAGACCACGGGCCCAGTCCCTCTCACCTGCGCCCTCCGGATCGCTTCCTGCAGCTCCTCCTCCAGAGTCAGAGCTGCTGAAGCTGGGGCTGAGGAAGACGTCAACGCTGGAGCCGGAGTGGCAGACGGAGACTGAGGCAGAGCCGGAGCGGTCACGAAGTTTCCCGCGGCACAAGGAACAGGGGGCCGGGGAGATGCTGAGCTCGGCTTGGACTAAAACCCAGAAGGGGGTGTTTCCATAAGCCACGCCCACTCGGCGCAACCCGGCTCACTCGCAACCTGTGGCTCCACCCCCTGGTCCTGCCCCGCCCTTCGCCCCGCCACACCCCTTATTCTCTCATTGGCTTCTCTTCCCTCCTTAGCCACGCTCCCCACGTCTCATTGGCTATTCTTTTCTCAAATTCCCGCCCCGTCCTACTTCTTCTTTTCCTCATTGGCATGCACGCCCCGCCCTTACCGAGCCCTGCCGTCGGGCCGCTACAAGAGCCTTCGGCCTGAGGCGTGGCCAGGGAGCACCCGCGGGACATTCCTCGCGCCTTGGCTTCGGCCGCTCGCGGGACGGGGCCCCTCCGCGCATGCGCTCCAGGAGCATCGACTTGGTACCGGACACCGGGAGGCCCCGCAGGCGCAGCTGCTGCCGGAGCTCTGAGACCTGGGCCGGGGGGGCGGGGGGGGGCGGGGAGAGGCCGTGTTGGGCGGGCTCCAGGGTGCAGCAGGAATGCAGGGACTGGACAATTGGGAGACCGAGAGAGGAGGGACTGGGGACCCCAGGTCCTGAATCTCTGTTGGGGCGGAGGCTGCAGGGTTAGTCTTCTGCGTCCCCACGGAGGGAGAGGGCCAGTCTGGGAAGCTGCTCTCCACACTCACCGTCAGCTCCTCCAGTTTAAGGGTCTGAAGTTCCAACTTGTGTGAAGGAGACGAGGGGTTGGAGACTCCTGGGAGGGAGGGAGGGAGGGGAGTGGGCTTCATCCTAGCGATAGTGGTGAGGGGGGAAGCAGAGGTTAGAGGGGGCACACAGAGAAAAGGCGTTCTTGGGTCCTTAAAGGCGGGGACTCATGCAGATGCAGGAATATAAGGGCCCAGAATTCTGGGTGCAAACCCAGGAGGCTAGCTCCTGTGCATGGGAGAGGAAGGGCTGGGGGCTCAGACTCAGGTCTGAGGCCAGGACTTCTGGAAACTGAAGGAAGAGGGGCTGGGGATCTGGACTTTTGAATCCTGGGGGAGAAGGGGACTAAGGGTGGATTCCCCTGACCTTGGACTTGGTTTGAAGGAGGAGGATGCTGGGGGTTTGAACTTCCTGGAGGATAGGAATGGAGATCATACCTAGAAGGTGGCTTCTGTGATTTTGTCTCTTCACACAGAGGTGGCCCAGGGGGACCCTCAGCCAATCCTTTGGCCTGAGGGTCTGCCCTAGACCCTTGTCTTGGCTCTGGGGGAATGTACTGGTGGTACGTCAAGTTCCCCTTGGGCTTGGCCTCCCTCCAATGTTGGGAGATCTTGGGCGACTCCTGAAAAAGCAGGTGTGATACCACATGTTTCAGCTCCATTCCTACTTCCCTGCCCCAGAGCCGCATGAGAAGAATGGGGTCAGTTTGGCACCACCAGAGAAGAGAAAAAGGCCAGCAGCAAGGAGGACCAAGGCTAGACTCTCAGAGGGACTTCCCCTCACTCCAGTGGAGACTGACCTTCTTCAGGGACTTCCAAGGGCAGCGTTGTGACTCAGGATGCAGGACCCCAGGACTGGAGAAGAAAGGGGCAGGGCCCAAGGGCGAGGCTGGGGAGGGAGCCAGAGCCGGGCCTGAGGCTGAGATCCGGGGATCTGACTCTGAGACCGGAGAGGCGGTGAAGGATCCTGAGAGACCTGCAGGCAGCCAGGCGGCAGGGAGGAACAAGGCTGTGTGGGGAGGAAGGTCCTGGAGGCCTCAGACTACCCCCCTCCGGTGTGGGTACAGCAGGACCAGGGAGCGAAACCCAAGCGGTGGGAGCTGGGTGCCTGGACTTCTGGATCCGTGGGCAGAGGGGCTAGAAACCCAGGCTTTTATATTCTCAAGAAAGGCAGGGTCATGTCCTCAGCAAGGGGCGTGGTGGCTGAGGGTCACAGATTCCTGGGGTTTTGTCGGGATGGGTGGCCCAGCACTCCTGGTCTTGGGGGGAGAGAGGAGAAAGCTACGTCCTGAGATTCCTGTGTGTGCCGAATGTGGAGTCTGGATTCCCGCATTTCGCTGGAGTGGGGACAACTGAAGAGCACCCAGGGGTGGGGTGGCAGGGGACCTGTATCCCTGGGACCTCCAGAGAGGACAGGATGGGATGATTTGCAGTGACTCCTGGGGCTTAGGGACGGAGGCTCAGAAACCAGCAAGGGGACCTGGCAGCTGCACTCCAGCAGGCCCCAGGGCAGCGGGGCCACCATCCCCTCCCTTTTGGGGCCCACACTTACTCGGGTCCTGATACCGTCTGTGGATCCGAAGCTGGAGGACTGTGGAGGGAAGAAGGCAGTGGGAGGAGAAAGGCGGGAAGGGAGTGTCCAGGAGCCTGGCCTGGCAGGCGGCTCCAGCTGCAGTTGTTGGCGGGACACGCGTGCCCAGCCCCCTCACACACACACACACACCCCATGCAGGCTTCCCTTTCCAGGGCCTCCCGCCTGCTCCCTGCCAGCAGAACGCCAAGGGCCAGAGCCATTCTGGGGCTAGGTGCCAGCCAGCGTGCATGCAGGAGGCAGCCCTGCCCCCAACTCCACCTGCCCCCTTCAGGAGCGTGAGCCCACCCCACCCTTGGCACAAGCACCGTCTTGGCAGCCTGGCCCATTTGTTCCTCGCCTGCTTTGATCCCTGCACTCCCTTTTGCACACACTCACTATCTTCTCTGCCACCTCCCCAACATCACCTTTTGCACACCCACCGTCAAACAGGCATCTCCCTGGGCTTCAGTGTTGCACACATGGCACTTTGGTGCACTTGTAAGTACCCTTTAACACTCTTCACTCTTGGCTCACTCTTTCTCGCCACTCCCCGAGCCACATTTACACACTTATTTGCATTCCGGATTTGGTCCCTTTGCCCATTTCTGCTCTTTATACCCCTGCACTCTTTTGCACACGCCTTGCTTTTGGGTTACTGTGTCTTTGCACACACCCAGTCACGCGAGCACCCTCATTTGCACACTCAAGTATCCTTTTCCTACTCAGGAAATGACCTCCAGTTCCACTCACTTGCACACTTCCCACCTGTGCTGGGACCTAAAGTAGAACTTTGACAGGTTCAAGGCTTGATAGCTCACCATCCCCTAACCCACATTCTCACCCTGGTCGCTCCCAAACCTCCACTCTGTGCACTTTGCTTTGCACACGTGTCAGTGTAAGCCCCTGTTCCTTGCAGTGCCTGACCCGCTGCACCCCCCAACCCTACCTGTCCACTCCCCACTGTTCGCCTGAGCATTGTACCAGCCATCTGCACACACACTGATTCAACACAGCTTAACCCCTTCGCTGGGGCCTCCTTTATGCACAAGTGCTCTTTCGCACAGAAAACACATGCCTCGTGGGCCCCATCACCCCCCTTCCAACCTCACCCCGCCCCGCACACTCCCAGTTTAAGTACTCCCCGGACCCAGAGAACCCCTTTCCCACAAGCACAGGGAGAAGCCTCTCACCAGATCGGAACTTGGAGCGAATGATTTGGGAGCGCTGGGAAGAAGCCGCCAGGGTCATTGCCAAGCCTGGGATGGGGACCTGGACTAGAAGGAGGGCAGGACCCCCACAAGAGGCAGGGGCAGAAGAGAGGTCAGAAGGCTGCCCCTGCCTGTGGAAGCAGCTGGGAAAGAGCCTGAAGGACGTGGGGGCAGGAGAGGCCTTGGGCCGTAACTTCCGGATCCCCGGGGAAGGAGGAGGCTGGGGACCCAGACTCCTGGGTCTGAGGGTCCCAATTCCTGGAGCCCGGAGGAGAAAGGACCTGGGATCTGGGAATCCTGGGTCCTAAAAGGAAGGACACTGGGGCCCTGGTCCCCTGGGTCTATGAAAGGGGAGGAAGGAGAGAGGTGTGAAGGGTCAGAACTTAATACTCTGAGGGGACGAAAACCCAACATCCTTGACCAAAGGACCTGATAGGTCCCTGGGGCCTGGGAAAGTCTCTTCTATCTGCATTTTTCAGCCACCATGGTCTGTGGGGAAGCGACGGGGTCCAGAGAGGGAACAGAAGAGTTAAGATGGGTCTCCCACACACCCCCATACCCCAGGGGCTTCTCACCAGGTGGCCTTGCTGTAGCTGTGCTCTGGGGCAGGTTGTCCCACCGTCTAAGCTGAGGCCGCGGGTTCCACCCTACCAGCCTGGGACCCCCCCCTTCTTGGGGCGTGCCCAGAGCCCATGAAGAGGGGCGGGGAGACAGAAGTCCCGCCTGGAACCCTGAGAAAGGGCGGGAGCACGGGCTGAGAGGGACTGGGGCGGGGCAGACATCGGGGTTCCCTGACTCGCTCCTCCTCTGCGTCCTGGGGCTGCGAGGTCGGGCGGGGCGGCAGGCGGACTGACAGAAGCAGGTGCTGGAGAGTGGCGCCTGCGGAGCAGCAGAGGCAGGTGGTCGCGTCCCGACCCCGCAGGCAGGTGCCACCTGTCGCTGACATTTTCCCTGACGCAGCAGCAGGAGTCGGATTCAGGGGAGTGAAAAGTTCAGACTGGAGCCCTGGACTCCTGGGTCTGAGGGAGGGGGCAGATAGGGACCCGCATTCCTGGGTTTGAAGGAAAGGGGGGGGGGCTGGGCTCCTGGGTCTGAGGGAGGAGGGGCTGGGACCCCAGCTTCCGGATGCTGGGAATAGCGACAAGAGGTGTTGGGACTCCGCAGTGTGCCCGATGAGCAGGAAGACGCATAGGAGGGCTGGGAACCCAGACTCCTGGGTCTGAGGGCGGAGGGGGCTGGAGTATGGACTTGGAGATCAAAACGAGAGGATGGCTGGTTCCAGCTGGCAGCGCTGAGGGCCTGACACATGGCAGAGCAAGCTTAGAGCTCTGTCCTGAGGTTTGTGGGAGGCCCCAGGGCTCCTGGGTTGGATTACGTGCAAGAGGGCAAGCTGAGGCCGTGGTTATAAATACCCCATCGAAGTCGGCAAGAGCCCAACGCTCCATGCAAGGGCCCCGGCGGTAGTTTCAGCAGGAAATCATCATCACTAACGCTCCCCGGTCTTAACAAGTGAGGCGTTGCCAATACCACTGATACCTTTATTTCTCCTGGCACTCAAAACCCAAGCCCATCTACCCACCGTCCCATCCTCTACGACCCCAAAACTCAAACTCCCAGCATTCCAAGCGGGAAAAACTACAACTCCCAGAAAGTTCTACGCTCCAGAGGGCTCCAGTGTGTGGAAGCCAAGGAATTTTCAAGGCTCGCGCAATCGTTTCTATTGGTCTTCAAGGAGGCGTGGCCACAGGAGGCCCGTGGCGGTGATTGGCCGGAAGTTCCTGCTGCTCAAGATCCCAGAGGAGGCGCCGGAGTCTGCGCAGTTCACGGTGCAGGGCGTCGTCCGTTACTGGCCCTGTGAGACGCAGGCGCGAGCTACCCAAGGGCAGGATGAGAGGAGGGTGGGAGGAGAAGCTTTCGAAGATGTCCCCTGTGACAGCGAAAACACGGAGTTAAATCTGAAAATGGGCGTTAGGTAGCAATGTCAAAAAAGAGGCTGCGTCACATCCGAAGGGAGAAAACTTCAATCCCCAGCAACTCCTGGAGCGGGAGTCCACTCAAACGCGACTCGTGGAGTCTCCAAGCATCATGGGAGTTGTAGTTCCGACTGTGAAAGGCCACAGTTGCCTGGGAAACGGGTGATACTGTTGGGTTCTTGGGTCCATGAGGAAGGAAGGGCTAGATATCTAGTTTTACGGATTCCTTCGAATGGAGGTTCTGGACCCAGGAGTCCTTGATGACAGGGAGGGCAGTTTGTGGGAGAAAGAAGCTGGGGGATCTGAACCCCTAGGAAAACAAGGGGGCTGGGGGCTTAAACTCCTGTATCCTGGAGAGAAGGGAATTGAGGCCCAGCATTTAGTGACCAGGAGAGGAGAGGGCTAGGGGTCCAGAATCCTGAGGCAAAAGGAAGAAGGGGCTGGGGCTATAGATTCTTAGGTCCTGAGGACAGAAGAAAGCTGATAGACACAATGCCTGTCCCCATCTCTCCTCACCTGTGTCCACAGCATCTCGCTCTGTAGGGGGAGGGTCCCAAGCAGGTGGAGGCCCGCGGCCAGGACCCAGCTGGTAGTGGCTGAGCAGATGGTGGAGCTGAGCAGGGGTCAGTGTGGGGTGGTCAGTGCGTAGACTGTTCCATGAAGCCTGGTGGGAAGATGAGTTGAGAGGGCTTTGGTCACGATGGAGCAGTCGAGAAATCTTAAATGGAAAGCCCTCTGTAAAGCGGGTGGATGTAGTGAGATGCACCGGTGTGGGTGCAATGTCTTTTGGGCACCATGAAGCCTGGTTGCCACGGAAGTGATGACAGGCAAGGGTGTGCTCTTGGCGGGGGGTGGGGTGGTGATAAATGAGATTTGCTGGAGAATAAATGAAGATAGGAGCAAAGAGGGGCTTCCAGGAACAAAATTAGCCATTCATTCATAGTATTGAAGTTGGTGATGAGTGTGTGGGGATTGATCTTCCACTGTGGCTATTTTTTGTATTTTTGAAGATTTCCACACATAACCTCGCTGGCATCAGAATTATGAGTATGGTTAAAAGCACAGACTCTGGACCCAGATTGTCCGGTTCAGAAACTCCAGCTTGGTGCCCTGCCTGGTGTAGCTCAGTGGATTGAGCACAGGCTGCAAACCAAAAGATCGCAGTTCGATTCCCAGTCAGGGCACATGCCTGGGTTGCGGGCCAGGTCCCAGTGAGGGCCACATGAGAGGCAACCACACATTGATGTTTCTCTCCCTCTCTTCCTGCCTCCCTTCCCCTCTCTCTAAAAATAAGTAAAAATCTAAACAACAAGTCCCTGGCTGGTGTAGCTCAGTGGATTGAGCACAGGCCTGCGAACCAGAGGATCGCGGTTCAATTCCTAGTCAGGGCACATGTCTGGGTTGCAGGCCAGTTCCCAGCAGGGGATGCATGAAAGGCAACCATACATTGATGTTTCTCTCCCTCTCTCCTCTAAAGATAGATAAATAAATAAATAAATAAAATTTTTAAAAAATCTAAAAAACAAACAAACAAACAAAAACCCTCCAGCTTGGTGCCTTATTACCTTCTGGCAAGTCACTATGCCTCACTGTCCTCACCTGTGAATTGGGGGAGATTAGGAACTCCCTACTGGGGTTATTATGTATATTCAACATGGCAAGATTATAAGGTACTCAGAACACTGCCTGGACTTATTAAATAGTCTGCCAAACTTGGACAAAAATAAATAAATGAAATCAAGTGACCTAGTCATCCCGATTCTCAGTTTCCTTGTCTGAGAAGAAAATGGTCAATTAATAACCTGCTTGATGGGGCATTCAGCTAGATATGCTAAGTCGTGCCTGACATGTAGTTTATGTTCAATGACTATTTTAGCCATCACATCCCTCTCAGACTAGACTTCCGGAATCAGTATGTCTGAGGGGCGGGACCCTGGAAAGTACTTTTAACAAGTCCCACCAGGATTCAGATGTAGCCCGGTTTGCACACTTTCAGGATACTTCCTTCTAGCTGCCAAGGCATCATCCATGGCGTCTGAGCTGGGACTGGTGATAATGGAGCTCAAGGGAAGATCCAAGGCTAAGCTGAACACAGAGGAGTCAGAGGTCAAGGGCCGGGAATTACCTTGAGCAGGGATGTGCGGGGCACACAGAGCAGGTTCACAGCCATGGACAGTTTCCGGAAGAACTCGGTGGCGATGTCCCCCAGCCCAGCCCCCTGCAGCCAGTCCAAGACAAGGTCCAGGTTGGTCCGAATTTGGACAGCTCGAGACCATTGATAGAAAGGTCGGCCTTGACCTGTAGGGGAAGAGGATGAACAGCAGTGGGTGCGTGGACCCTGCCCTTCTGCCTCCCAGACCCTTCCTGTCCTCCAGCTTGGGATCTAGAGCTTGTTTCCCGGTCCCTAAAGGTTAGGCCTTAGCCTGTTATGCTTCTGACTCTCCACATGGATCTCAGCGGTCTGTCTCTGCCTCCTTGCCCTTCCCAGTCTGACCCTCACCTCGTTCCATCAGTGAGTTGAGAAGGGATGCATTGGAGAAGAAGAACAAGTAGCCGAAAGTCTGCGACACAAGGTCCGGATGCAGCTCGCACTGGCTGGTCAGCTCCAGAGCTGCCTGGAACACGCCTAGGGTGGGTCTCAAACCCAGGGGCATGGCCTCCAGCTCCGCGCCAGGCCCCGGAAGCTCTGCCCCACCTGTGAAAGGGTTACTGTCCAGGAGAGCAGGCAGCGTTGAATAGAGAGTCTGAGGAGATACAGAGATGCAAACAAGTGATCAGACCACAACTCCTTGGAAGTGACAGGGTAGTAGCCTATAGTGGAGATAGTGGGGAGCTCCAGCAAAGGTTTCTGGGAATTGTAGTCCATTTCGCCTTCGACACCCTGAAGCTCTGTCTTTATGAGCAAATTCCTACTTTCCAGCTGGGTTTCCAGCATTCACTCAGGCCTGGGACACCCTAAGTCTTAAGAAGGGCTTTGCAGAAGTTTCTTTAACATTTTAAGACCACCCTTGGTGCCTTATGGGACACAGCCCCTCAGCAGAAACAGCTTAAGGAGGACAAAGGATACCGAACAAAGAGGCTCCCTTCAATCAAACAATTATTTATCCAGAATTCCCGAAGGAAAGAGAAAGAATGGAGGGTCAGGAAGTGGGAGTGGGGTGGCAGTTAGCCAGTGGAAAGTGAGATGACAAGGACAGGAAATGAGGTCAGAGCCAGAAAAGGAAGAACATCGCATTTGGCAGCGATGTGCAGGAAGTGAAGCCTTGAAGGCGAGAGGTTCGCAAATCAAGGCTCCTCAAAAGACATAGACTCTCTGTCCCAAAAGATCCCCTTTCATTTCACAGATAGGGGATCAGGCCCCCATAAGCCAGAAAGCCTGAGAATTCCAAGAGCACCGTTAAGGCCAAGGTGTGTGGGGGGGGGGACCTGGGGCAGCAAGCAGCTCCTGTAGGATGGACACTCCAGGGAGAAAAAGGTCTGTGGCTCAGAAAAGAGAGTGAATTCGGAGTGACAGAAAGTGATGTCAGCAGACGCAGAGAGTGAGGATTAGTTAAAGAGGAACTTTAGTTTAAATGGCAGTGCTAACACTATTTGATCTAGCTACATCTATTTTCCTGTTTATTTATGTAACATCAGACCGAACTTCGGAAAAGGGAGCCTGAGACCGTGATAATGTGACATAACCAGGTAGAGAGGCCAGACTCTGAAGAGGGGACAGTAGCAGAGACGGGAAGAGAGCCCAGGAAGGCAGGAAGTGACATGGGCTCAACGGGAAGTGCCGTCAGACTGGCAAAATGGGAAGTGATATCAGCCAAGCAGGAAATCTTGTGAGGTCACATCGGAAGTGACGCCAGAGCCACATGAGGGAGTTCCCACGGGAAGTGAAGGGATGCCAAGGAGGAAGCGGGGGTCCAGGCCAACCTTGGTGAGGTAGTAGACAGACTGCTGGAAGGTACACATGATGACCTCGTCCAGGAGGGCCATGGCCTCGTCGCATAACTCCAAGTCATTGCAGAGCTGTGGGTCTGAGGGCATGTCTGGGGGTGAGAGGGAGAGCCGGAGGCTGGCAGATGGGAGCCCAGGTCCCCAGGTTCGGGAAGCGGCAGGGGGCTTGGACAGGTCCACGTCGGGGCCCAAGCTCACCCTCCTGGTCGGCCTCCTTCTCCATCTCCAGCACCTTCTCCTGCACGAAGCTCAACAACTCCGTGGTGTTGGCCATCCACAGCATGAGGGGCCGCAGCTCCGCCGACACCGCCTCGGGGGTCAGGGGCTCCTCAGGGACGCCCTCCGGGTGGCTGGGGAGGGAGGATGGGGCCTGTGAGCCTTGCCCAACCCCACCATAGCGTCCAAACCCCGAGATCTGTGTCTAGTTGCGGATGGAGTCTAACCCCCATTTCCCAGCTGGACAAGTTGAGTCCCGAGGAAGAAGCCGCAACTTGCGTTATGACGCATGTGGACTGAACAGAACTGACTGCAAACCCCAACCCCTGCCTCCCTTGACAGGCTTCCCAGAATTCCTCTTACTTCTCTGGCTGACGGTCTCCGATTTCCTTAATCTTTTCCTGCGGAACAGTAAGATCAGAATCAACGTGAGGGGGTCGGGGGGACAGGCCCATAGGTTTTTCTGGAAGCCCCCGTTTCTGCCACTCTCCCCGCTTTTCAAATGGACTCTAACTCTCAAGCTTCAGAACGGACTCTCATCTAAAACACACACCTCTATGATGGTGAGTGGTCCAGTTCCCTCAGGCCCACTTCTCAGAGTTGCTTCCTACCCCCGAGAAACTTCCTAAACCCTCTAACAGGCCCCAGCTCACAGGTTTGTAACCCTCTCCCCCCCCCCCGCATTTCTGGGTTTGCCCTCGGACTGGTCTCCCCGCTACTGCTCCAACCTTCAGACCCAACGGGTTTCCAGCCTCACTTCTCAGAATGGCCTCTTCCAACTTTTCATATAATGGGATCTCACCCCCCCTCCCCGCCTGCATCTCCCAGCCTCCCGTCAGTCCCCCTGCTTTATAGCCCAAGCCCCTCCTGGGGCACCACGGGGAGACTAGTGTCACCCCGCCCAGCTCTGAAACTGGGGTGAAAGGTGGTGAGGTCTGGGGAGGCCCCTGGGGTGTAAAGCAATGGGGCTGGGCAGTGGTAGGGGGCGCTCACCCAGACGGCCTCCTTGATAAGCCGGGCCAGGCGGCCCAGCAGGCGCGGCAGGTGGCCCAGCTCCAGCTCCCGCGCTGAGTGCTGCACGCACAGAGCCAATAGCGTGGCGGGCCCGAGCGGCGGCAGGTCCCCCGCGCCGGCGGCCGCGGTGCGCACGATCTCCCCGAGGAGCGCCTCCTCCTCGCGCGGCCGGAAACGCAGCACGGGCTCGCGGCCGTCCAGGTAGGCGGCCAGCGCCTCGCCGCGCTCCTGCAGGCCGCGGCCGCACAGGCGGCAGGAGAAGGCCCAGCCAGGCCCCGGAGGCGCGACCCCGGGGCGCGCGGGCAGCCAGGGCGGCCGCGCCGGGCCCGAGCCCCCAGTGCGGGGGTCCTTGTACATGAAGAGGAAATGCTCGCCCAGCCCCAGCAGGTCGCCCGGGTGCAGCTCGGCCTCCCGCAGCAGCAGGCAGCCGTTGTGCGTGACCGGGGCTCCCCGGGAGGGGCGCACCATGGCCGGGCACTCGGGGCCCGCGCGCACCGTGCAGTGACGTGGCAGGATGTCTGGGGCGTTGAGAAAGGTGTCCACGTACGGCGCCGGGGACCCCCCGCGGGCTGAGGAGTTGCCGCCCCGGCCGAACACGTGCTGCTCCCGCGTCATCACGTAGACCACGAAGTCCTGGAGGGAGTGGGAAGATGCGGTAAGGCTACCCTTTCCCGTGGACGGACGCTTTCAAGGCGGTCTCCGGGACCCCAAAGGCTCGCCAATTACCCCCACCTCCCAGGAGGTCTGGTCCACCACGCCGGGCCTGAAGACCTGATACTCACAAGGAAACCCCTTCTTCACAAGGACACTACCACTCCTCTCCCTCAAAACATGGATGCTTCCCAGGTCTTTCTGCGGTAGAATCTCCCATCTCCTCACCTCCTCTGAACGGACAGTTTCAAGGCCATCTTTTCCTACACTGGACTCTCCCCTGACCTCCAGCCCAGAGAATGGGCACTTCCAAAGACACCGCGCCCCCCCCATGACCACAATGGACTACCCCACTGTCCCCCCCCCCTCTAAGAATGGGCTTTTCCAAGGACAGCTGCTTTCCCTGACCATTATGCCCATGTCCCTGCTCCTGGCCCCACTTACCTACCATTCCACCCCCTGGATGGAGGCTTCTAGAGACATTTCTGCTTCCAAAAAATAGTTGCTCTCAATATTCCTCAGTCAAGGAACACAATACTTTCAAAGAGACTCCCCTTTTGAACAGAGATTTCTTTCATTATCCCCCACCCCATGAATGTACACTTCCAAGGAGACCCCATTTCTGCAGTGGACTCATTGATTTCCCCCCTGTGATGGACCTGCTTCCAAGGAGACATCATCCTACCATGGACTCATCTATTACCCCCTCTCCCTTGATGGATATTTCTGAAAATACTCTCCCTTCCATCAATGGATGATCTCGCTATTCCCATCCCCTCAAAAAGGATGTTTCCAAGGACGCCTCCAAAGAGTGATACTTCTAGTGACCTCACCATATTAATACATGTTTTCAAGGAAGCCCTCTTCTTACAATGGAGTGTCCCATTTTGTTCACCTTGTGAGAAGGTGCATCGCAGAAGACCCGTCCCCCAAAATGACTCTCCCATCTCCATCCTATAAAAGTGGAATAGCTCAGACGGACTCCCTTCTTTTTCTTTTTTTAAAAAATATTTTTAAAAGATTTTATTTATTTATCTTTAGAGGGGAAGGGAAGCAGAGAGGGAAAGACCTATCAATGTATGGTTGCCTCTCGTGCGCCCCCTGCTGGGAACTGGCCTGCAACCCAGGCCTGTGCCCTTGCAATCAAACCGCAGTCCTTTGATTCGCAGGCCTGCACTCAATCCACTGAGCTCCACCAGCCAGGGCAGACTGACTCCGTTCTTAAAGTAGACCCTTCTGTTCTCCGCCCAGGTCTGAGAGAAGTCATTCTGATATTCCTAAATCCTCCTCCTACACCAAACTCTCCCGTATTACCTTTATCCCATGGATGGACTTTTCTAAAGAGACCCCTTCCTACAACAGGTTCGCTCACTGGCCTCTCTAGAAAGATGGACCCTTTCAGTCTGACCACCTTCTGAAGGGAGACTGTCCCATCTTCCATCCCTGTCTCAAGCAATGGAATGATCCAAAATATACGAACTCCATTTCTGAAACGGGCTCTCCTGTTCCTTACACCAGGAAGAGATGCTTCCACAGCACATACAATGAACTCTCAAGTTACGGCCACCCATGCACAGAGAAATGCAAATAAATTCCTTTCTGTAATAGGTTCACCTCCTACTCCTGTTTCCAAGGATCGGACACTTCCAGTAAAGCCTCTTTCTTTTTCTTTCCTTTTTAAAAAAGGTTTGATTTATTTATTTTTAGAGTGAGGAGAAGGGAGAGAGAAAGAAAGGGAGAAAAACATGTGTGGTTGCCTCTTGAGTGCCCCCTACTGGGGACCTGGCCTGCAACCCAGGCATGTGCCCTGACTGGGAATCAAACTGGTGACCCTTTGGTTCACAGGCCAACACCCAGTCCACTGAGCCACACCAGCCAGGGCAAAGCCTCTTTCTTACAAAGGAATGTCTCATGAACATCACCCAGAAGAATGAGTGTTTCTAATGCTTCCCCCTCTTCCCATAACAGACTGTCTTATACACCCCAAATAGATCCTTCCAATTCGACTGCATTCTCAAAATTGACCCTCCTTTCTCCAGTCTTGTCTGGAGGAATGGACTGTTGTGACATATGTAAACAAAGCCCTTTCTACAATGGAATTGTCCCTGTGCCGTTGCCTCAACAAAGGAATGAGTTCTTTTCTGAATAGAAAAGCTCTTCTCTGAATACTCTTAAAGTCTCCATCATATTCAGAGCCAAGCCACCAACCCAACTGGATCTCTCTCTGATAGTACAAATGGAACTGTTCAGTTAACTTTACCACCTTCTACAGCGGGCTGTCCTGTGGATCCCAATGGTACCTGCTGAGCTTGGCTGTTCCACCGTTAGCAGAAGCCAACAGCCTCGTAAGGATGGCTGTCCTACTCATCACACAAAAATGAGTATTTCCACCACTACATTACAGTTCTACGACCCCTGACCGCTAGTCCATTCTCCCTCTCTGACCCTTCATAAACAAAGCGTACTGCCACCTAAATATGTAAAATAGAGTGATCAGGACCCCCTGCTCCCATCAGCAGTGGTCAAATCATTCCAATGTAAAACAACCCTTTGAAAAAGGATGCCTGACTGGCATGGCTCAGTGAGTTGAGCATCGTCTTGGAAGCAAAAGGTCGTGGGTTCAATTCTGCTCAGGCACATGCCTGGGTTGCGGGCCAGGTCCCTGGCTGGGGGTGTGAGAGAGGCAACCACACATTGATGTTTCTCTGCCTCTCTCTTTTCCTCCTTTCCCCTCCCCCTAAAAATAAATACATTAAGTCTTCAAAAAAGGATGGGTCCACTCTTCCACTGAAAATATAGGCTTCCCCGCAAGACAGACTCTTTTATTACTCCTCCTCAAGAAATAGACATTTAAAGGAGATTTCCTTTCTACAATAGCCTCTCTCATTCACCCTTGAGGAAGACGATGCTTCCCCCCAACTTTGAATGAAAAGTACTATTCCCTACTTGTCCCAGAATCTTTTCCGGTCATCTATCCACCGTCCCTACTATCCTCTCTGACAACATCTGCCTTGCTGGGACCACGCCTTCCAGCATCCCTGAGACTACCCCGACACAAGGAATTCTGGGGTTGTAGATTTGTTACCCTTTAACCGAAGAGTGGAGCATAGGGCTCTCTCATAGGAGAGGCTGTGCCTACCTGGGCATCCTGGTAGCCCTGGAGCAGCAGGAAGTAGGGCCGGTTGCTGGGGGCCTGGATGAGGCACTGAGTCAACTGATCAAAGTCGCCAGGGTCTGTAGGTCCGATTTGGGCGTCCGCTGCCCCTGGGGCCATGCTAAGTGCCTGCTGTCTGCGCTCCTGCTGCCTCCGCCGCCGACCCTGCAGGCTGAGCTCTGACACACTGCGCCGCAGAGACAGATTTTCCGAGCGCTCCTTGCCCGCAGACCCAGCCTGGGGCCCTGACCCTGACCCTGGGCCAGGGCTGGCCAGCGCTGCCCCGCCGGATGCTGCCCGGGAGCGGTTCTTCTGTGGCCGCCACAAGGCAGAGCCTGTGCCTGCAGAGAGAGATCGGAAGCAATGAGGCCACAACTGGAAAAAGACACAGGGAGAGACAGACTCGGAGATCTGGAGACTATCAGGAGACCAAGAATTAAGCTCTGGATGGTGTAGCTCAGTGGATTGAGCGCAGGCCTGTGAACCAAAGGACCGCAGTTTGATTCCCAGTCAGGGCACATGCCTGGGTTGCAGACCAGTTCCCAACAGGGGACGCACAAGAGGCAACCATACACTGATATTTCTCTCCCTCTCTCCTTCCCTTCCCCTCTAAAGATAAATAAAATCTTTTTAAAAAGAGAAAGAGAGAGACCAAGAATTGGCTACAGAGAGATGAAACTGCTTCCCATATTTAGGTCTTTGCATATGCTGTTCCCTGTGCCTGGAACATACTTTCTGCCTGACTCCTCCTACCCGCCTTGAAGTTTTCAGCTCAGAAATTCATTCATTCTTTCAACTAATATATTCTGAGCACCTGTTATGTATTGGACACTGTTCTGGGCACTAAGGACTTTGTAGTGGACGGAGAAGACCCTGCCCCCTGGGAAACAGAACAACTCTTCCCTAACATCCCAGGTGGAAGCAGAGAGCAGCACACGTGGGCACTTTGGGCTTTGTCTGGGCCCAGCACGGCCCTGGCATACAGTAAGTACCTAGAGAAAATGAGGTGCGCTAGTGAACTGATGGGTTTTCCACTAGGCTGTAGAATCCAGGAGGAAGGAAACTTCACCAGTCGATGTCCCCATTGCGTTCCCCCAGGGTCCTAAATAATGTGTGGCCCCGAGCAGGTGCCCAATGAATGCTATTTGAAGGAGGGGAAATAAAGACAATGATGGTTATAATTGCCGTTTCTTATTAAGCAACCGATGTGCCAAGCACTGTGCTGCAATTATGCATGTACACTCTCTCACTGAATCTTCACTTAGCATTTTGCTGAGTTTAACTGGCTAAGAATGGATTGGACTCTCAGCTTGTGTCCAAAGCCCATCAGCTTAACTGCCACGCCACTCTACTTCCCAAAAGGAGACTCGGAAACAGAAAAGAGGTACGGGGCTCCTTGTGCAGCCCCTACTCCTGTGAGCCTGCCCCCCCTTGCCAGGCTTTCAGACTTTGCAGCCAACCCAGTTCAAGGCCACCTGCTGCAAGGCCCGCTCCTCTGAGGTCCCGCCCATTCTGGCAGCCCGTTTCTTCGCATCCACCACCCGCCACCGTCTAGTCTCCATCCAGAAGTCTGCTCCTCAGGAACCAATTCAACTTACGGCTTTGAGAGGCCCCACCCAACACCTCCTGTTGGCTACTCTATTCTGCAAGCCCCGCCCCATCTGGCATCATAGGCTCCGCCCATGGGTGCTGCACTTACCTTAAGGGCTCTGGCCTAGCCCTTCTGTTTGACCCTGTTGCGGCCCCAGCTCCTATCTTCCCCTGGACCCGGTGCTGCAGGTCCCGCCCAGTTCCCTTCCCAGGGACCCTCTTCCCGCCCTGCAAGCCCCGCCTCCCTGGCTCCGCCCCCAAACCCAGCCCTTCCCTCCCACTGGCCCCGCCCCCAAAGTTCCGCGGGCCGCTCACCTTCGCTGTCCCCGGCCCCGAAAGCCTCCTGCTCCAGGCGGCGAGCTTCCTCGCGGCCACGCAGCTCGAAACGCCGCGCCCAGCCGGGCCGCGCCCGCCACAGTTCCTGCACCAGCAGCGGGCGCTCCAAGTCGCCCAGCACGCGCAGGTGCTCCGCCCGCCACTCGCCGTTGCCTACGCCGCCGGCCGCGGGCCTGCCCAGCGCGTCGCACAGCGCGAAGGCGTCCACGCAGTTGCTCTCGCCGGGGCCGCTGCCCGGGCTGCCGGCCAGCCCATAGCGCTCCAGAGCCTCGGCCACCAGCTCGCGTGCCGTGGAGCGCGCCGTGGCCAGCACACTCTTGTAGTTAGCGCCCGACGCCAGTCCGGCGCCGAAGATCTTGAGGACCCCCGGGGGCGCAGTGGCGCGAGTGGCCAGTGAGGGCTCGGGGGCCACGCCCGCCGCCAGGTCAGGAAGCTTCTTCTCGCTGGCCCAGCGCTGCGCGCTCCCGGGGGTCCCGGGACCTCCCGCGCCGCCAGATCCCGTGGCTCCGGTGCCCGAGCCCCGAAAGAGCTGGGAGATGCGCTTGGCGCGACTCCCCGAGGCTCCCCCGGCCGCCTTAATCGCGCCCACCCGCCGCAGCTCCACGTGCGGCGGCGGCGGGGGCAGTGGCTCGCTGCTGCGGCTCCCCGTGTCTGAAGAGGAAGACCTAGGAGCCCGAGGAGGAGCAGCGATGTGCGAGAGACAGACCCAGAAAGACGGAGAGACAGGGGAGTTAGAGAAGAAGGGAGGCGAACAAAGACGCAGACAGGAGGGTAGAGACCCAGAGGCGGAGTGACAGGGACCCATAGAGAGGGGACAGAGACCCGCCGAAAAGCGAGAAGAAGCGGAGGGTGTATGGAAATGGAGGGTGGGCAGAAGCCGGAGGCAGGGAGAGAGATAAAATAAATAAATAAGTAAGTAAGTAAAGGCGAGTCCCACAGAAGGAAATTGCAAGGGGTGAGCAGGGAGGGGGGGAGGAAGGTGACTCAAACCCAGGCTCCTTCTGGGTCCTCATCCCTGTGGCCATGGGCCTAAGTCCCTCTCCAGGGCCAGCACTCCCCCCAGCCCCCGCTGATATGACCGTGGCCCGCGGTGTCCTCCCAAATGGACTGGGCTCACTCGCCCAGTCAGGGGTCCCTGGCACTGCCCAGTTCAGGGACGTGGTCATAAACAGGGCAGAGAGGAGGCAAATGCGGCCGGGACAGGCGTTTGGAGGAGAAGGGCACTTACTTGACAGAGGCTGCGCTGGGCCAGCGCCGCCCCAACTTGGCCAGCTGCTTCCTGGGAGAATTGATCCACAGGCCCACTGGGAGATGGAGCTTCCCAAAGCGGGGGCTACCGCCCTCCTTCCGTTCACCAGACAGCATGGCCCTGCGGGAGGGTGGGCAAGGCCTCAACTCCTGAAGCTCTGCCTGGTGGGGATGGGCTGGAGGGGCGCCTGGTCTGAGTCCGAGCAGGGAGAGGGGACTGGGGCTGGGATCCTGGTTTTGCGTAGAGCAGAGGGATGGGAGCCTGGACTCCTGGGTGTGGGGACGGGCAGTGGCTGAGGACTGACTCCTGGCTCTGAGGAAGGAGGGATCAGGGCGCCTGGGCCCCCAGCTCTTACCCTTCTTCGGGTCCCAGCGGCACCCGGGGGGCCCTGGCTCCGTCGGCCGGGTCTGTTCCTGACCCCACTGCTCCTCGGCCCCAGCTCCCAGCCTTTCCTCTCGGCCCCAGCTCCCAGCACTGGGTGGGGGACAGGAAAAGGCAAGAGGAAACCCCAGCAGGAAGAGCGGGGAGGGGGCGTCCTGTGAGGGAACGGGGCCTGGGGGAGGGGAGGGCTGGCTCTGCCCTGCTCCTTGATTCTGGAATTCTGTCACTGCCAGGACCCAGGGGGACCCATCTCCAGCCCCTCCTCCCTCAGATGGGGGACCATCCCCAGACCTCTCCTCTCGGGGGGGGGGGGGGCGGCGGGGGGACCAAAAGTTAGGATCGTACGGAGGAGTGAGTCAGATACTTAGACAAACAGATAAATCTTTATTGAGTCCTTGATTCGTCGGCCTTTACGTCGGCCTTTACGTCGGCCTTTACGTCGGCCTTTGTCTCTGGAGCATCGGAGCTCGGAGCATCTTTCTTGCCAGTGCCGAACCAGTGCTTTACGACATCCTTGAAGTACGAAGGATTCCTCTCAGCCCAATAGCAAAGTATCCTAGGGGAGGGGGGGTGTGGGGGAAGGGTGCCAGTAGCCGAACCAGATCAAATCCTGACCTCCCAACGTTTGATCTTATCCTTGCCACAACCCCAACTTCACCCTCCTCGGTGAAGCAAGCTCTTTCCTGAGCACCACCCGCCGTGGAAGGCCAGCTTTAAGGGTTCCGCAGCTCCGGGACCCCACTCTGCCCTGGAAGTCCCGCCCCCCGCTCCAATCCCCGCCTTCCGTGGCGGCGGGCAGCTCACAGGATGGCGATGCTGGCTATCAGCACCATAAAGCCCCAGCTCAGAATCCCGACCAGGAGTCTGCGCAGCACATTCTCCACCTTCGGAGACTGGGACGAGGAGGACTGTAGGGCCGTGGGCGGCTTGGCGGGGCGCTGGGTGATCCCATTCGGGGCCTCCCCGGCCTGGTTTGTGGTGTTTGAGGATGATGTCTCCTCTACGATTCTTTTGGGCAACACTGAGAGGGGAGGAGGAAGAAATAGCCCTCGGAAGACACGACGGTTCCACTGGCCAAGGCCAGCCCTTCCACCCCACCCCGTCCCAGGACCGAGGTCCTCCATGAGATGGTCACGCGCCTCCGATTGCACCCAGAGGGGAGCTGCTGGAACACACCCGGAGGGGAGCCCTGCCACTGTGGCCAGAGGCCACACCCAGGGCAGGAAGTGACACTTCCATGGCGTGAAATCACACCCTGGCAGGAAATTATTGTCCCATAAGCCACACCCCTGCAGGAGACTGCCCCCCAGCCCTGAATCCCATACTTGGTTCCACTCCCCCAGCACTGACCTTTGACATGAAAGCGGATGATGGTGGCGGGGCTGGATTTCACAGTGTCCAGCTGGCAGCGATACGTCCCCGCGTCCTTCGGAACCACCATGGTCTTTGTCAGGGTGGGCTCTTTCCCCTTGGACACCAAGGTCTCAGAGTGGTTCCTCCAAACCTAGACCCAAGCTTAAGGGGTCACAGAGGCCTGAGGGATTCAGGGGTTGCGGGAATACAGGGGTAAGAAGATCACGGGGGGGGGGGGAGATGGGTGTCCTGGTCAGGGTAAAGGGCCCCCAGAGGGTCAGTGGTGGCCAAACCTGGTAGGTCATGGGTCATGGGGACTGTGGTGCAGGCCTGTGGATACAGGGTTGACACGGGCCTGATGGACTTGGATTTCAAGGGTACAGGAGTTGGAGGACCCCACCCTGTAAAAGCTGTAATCGGTCAGGCCTTGAGAGGCTTGGTGCCAGTTGAGCTCACAGTCCAGGATCATGTCTTCCATTTCATGGACCTTGATGGTGCGCTCTGGGAATAGGGGGTTACTGTGCGATGCTCCTTTGTGGCTCTTGGCCATCAGCCCCTTTCCGCTGGGCCGGCCCCGCCTTTCCGCTCCAGCTGACTGTAGTCTCCGCCCTCTCTGTGCTCAGTCACTCCTCTGGCCCCGCCCCTTCGGCACCGGCCCCTCCTATTGGGCCCAGCCAGCTCTCTCACCTCCGCAATCCAAGGACTTCCGACAAGCGTGAACCTCCTTCTGGCAGGTACTGCACCAGATCAGAGTCTGCAGCATCATACCTGAAGAAGCAGGGCCAAGGCTGTATTTGTCCCCCAAGGGGGCGGGGCTAAAAGAAGAGGGCGGGCGGGGCTGGAGCGCAGTAGGAAGCCCGGTAGGAAGCTGGGGTCTAACCAGGAAAGAGTGCTTTCCAAGGTGGCCTTGGTGCAGAAGGAATACAGGAGACCCAGGAATGAAGACGCGGAGAGTGAAGAAACACCGAGACCCAAAAGGGGGAGCAGAAAGGCTGGGTATTCACAGTGCAGGGATGAGGGAGAGGGGGCCAGCACCCATAATCCTGACTTACCACATTTGTTGGGACAAAAAGCTGCCTCAGAAGAGACCAAAGAGAAGGAGAGGGAGAGAGAGAGAGAGAGAGAATCAGATTTTTAAGTTAAGGGGATGAGAGAGTGGGGGAAGGCAGAGGCTGGGGCTGGAGCTCCTGGCTTTGAGGGGAGGAAGGAGCTGGATACCTGAACCCTTGCATCTGAAGGATGTGGTTGGGAGAGCTGAGGGACCAGACTTGGGGAAGCAAGAGGCTGGGGACAGGGACTCCTGGACTGTGGGAGGAGCAGGCTGGGGCCCAGGAGTCTCATCTTTCCTCACCCTCCTTTTGGAACTGAGTGACATATCTGGCAAGGGTATCCTTTTGCAGGCTCAGCATCCAGAACAGCTCCTTCACCAGGAGCTCACCTGGAAAGAAGCAGGATGAAACAGAGTGGTCCCCTCCCTTCCCCCCCAGGCAAGGAAGTTTGCCTCCGTCTGTGAGCCTGGCCTTCGATTTCTGGCCTTCTCAGGGAAGGACCCTGAAACAGAGTGGCCACTTAACATGCTGGCTGAGAACAACTGGGATGAGCCTGCGCTGTTATGGTCTCCATTTTAGGGGGGACGAAGTGGCAAGGCCACACAGCTAGGAAGTGGCAGAGCTGGGAACTGAACCTACGCAGTCTGGCTCTAGAGCCCGGTACCTGACCCCTGGCCCCAGCCAGGCGTCATCAGCAACCACTTCCCTGAGAGAAACTGGAGCCCTATCCCCTGTCCCCTCCATGCATTTGCCTTTTACATTACTGTCCGTGATGCGTTTCAGATCCTTCAGCAAACTCCAGGATGCCTTTTCCAGCGTGGGCTCGTCTGTGGGGAGACAGAACCCCAGATCCTACTGTTACTGTCTCCCTGGCTTCCCTAGTCTTAGAAACTACAATACCCATGGGGCTACTAGACAAGGATATGCCTGGTTAAGAAATTACTTGCCCATTGCTTTCTGGGAGTTGTAGTTTTGTTGCATAAAATTGCAGGATAAGGGGTAGGGGAACACCGTATTTGCTAGCCCTGAGGAACCCTGAAATCTGTACCCAAGCCTGCCACATTTTCAAACTCAGGAGATTCTACCTTTGGCCCTTTGGCCCCTGCACCCAGCAATCTTAGAGCAGATCCCTCCTTTCCCAGGACCCAGGAGTCCAGGCTCCATCCTGCCCTCACCGATGACCCCCATGTAGGAATCCTCGTCAATCGGCAGATTCTTGAAATCCTGCACAGTATCCTTTAACCTTTTCATCACGTTTTTGTGATGCTCAGCCTCCAGGTGACCAGGCAAGTAATCCGTCTCGAAGGAGTTTAGCGCCTCCACGACCTTTGTATCACATATGACACAACCCAAGGCAGAAAGCAGGCAGCTGGCCAGCGCCCCTACCAGGAGGGAAAGCCGCGGCCCCATTGAGGCCTGAGCGTTCAATCTGCGCAGACCCCAGGGAAGAGTCCTGTCACACAGAGGAGGTGAGCGCTAAACGAAGAGATGCCCTACCCCGAGACTAATGGACCCCCAATTTGCAGGGCGGAGAACTCTCGTTAGTGAACCGAGGAGTCCCGATGCACCCTAAACAGATGCTGCCAATCTCCAGAGGTTTGTACCCTCAAACACTAGGGTTCGCCGAAGAGCTGAGTACAGGTTCTCAGGGCTTTGAGAGAGGAGGACCGAGCCACGCCCTTCCACTGTACTGATACTTTCCCGCTACTAAAATCAAGGATTTTGTTAGAGGCGAGGGTGAGGCTGGTTGCTCAGTATAGAGATTTGACTGGGGTCAAAGTCACCGTTCGCTTCTATCTACAAGGTAACTAACTCCCACTGCCCCCGTCTTCTATCTAGCTTCCTACTTCATGCCCGGAATTCCCAAGAGCTGTGACGTGCTGATTTGGCCCCGCCCATGAGCCCAACTGTGAGTCTGATTGGACCACAACAAAGGAGTCTCTGCCTATCGCGCCTTGACGTCACAGAGGCGGCCGCCTTTTCTGAGCCGAACTTTCCCAGCATCAATAGAAGTGTCTATGGAAGTACCCTATCTGCTCCAGATTTCCAGAAACAAGGAAAGGAATTCTGGACTCCAGCTTCCTCCCTTCCCTGGGCCCCAGGCTTCCGGCTAGATGCCCACAACCCCAGGCATCGAGATAGGAAGACGCTAAAAGTGGCCATTCCCATCCCTAGGACTACGATTCCCAGAAGGCTCCGGATCTCTCCCTAACGGTGTACCGCAGCTAACCCCGTGGCATTGTGGGAAATGTAGTTCAAAGTTATACCGTGTCGGGGGTGTGGTGTAGAAACGGGTAAATGGTAATGGAAAAAATACAGTAACAAAGACTAACATAAAAAAAGAATTATAGTATGTGCTCACTTCTTGCTCCACCTTCCCTCCCAGCCTCTGGGGCTGAATGCCAAGGTCTCAGAGGAAAGCGAGGTCCAGGGGCCAATAGTGAGAGACGAGAAAAGAGTTGGGGCCCAGAGACAGTTGTGGCAACAAGAGGCTGCCAGAGGATCTGAGCAAGGAGAATACCCCAACACATGAGCCATGAGTGTCCGTGGAAGTTCTGCGCTTTTCCTCCTTCTAACACACACACACTCATTCATGCACACAAGACCAAAAAATCCACAGACAGGGGCTGGTGATGTAGACTTTTATTTTATTTTTTGGTTTTTTAAAATATTTTATTTATTTTTAGAGAGGGGGAAGGAAAGGAGAAAGAGTGGGAGAGAAACATCAATGTGTGGTTGCCTCTCATGTGTTCCCTACTGGGGACCTGCCCCAGCAACCCTTTGCTTCACAGGCTTGTGCTCAGTCCACTGAGTTACCCCAGCCAGGGCTGATGTGGACTTTTAATTCATAAACTTCCTCTCTCCCTCTTATGGCAGCTGAGTACTGAATAATTGCTCAAAACTCCTCGAGAGGACTACAAAAGGAGCTTAGATTCTTAGACAATTTTGTAACAAATGTATCTACCTTCACCCTCTTCGAAAAGCATCAAGGGGCTCCTGAAATCTTAAGTCAAGAATCTTATCCTCCTTGGCCAAGGGTCCCCCTGCTGGGGTATGAGGTTAATCCAGGGTCTGCATACCTTCAAATCTTCCCATCCATCATTGCCAAAGCCAGCTGTCGCTAAGTTCTGTGGATTCAGGGGCAGACAGACAGTGATTAGGCACAGTACCAGCGACTTTCTGCAAGGCAGAGGACTCGTTCATGCCAGCTGACTTCCAGAAAACCCATCCCATCTGCCCCAGCAGCCCAGCTGCAGAGGAAGGAAGGTCCTTAACTGGGAGAGGGAACCCAAACTCAGAGCTAACATGGGCAGTGCCTGTCTTTGGCAGTTTTCTTTTGAAGATTTTATGTATTTATTTTTAGACAGAGGGGAAGGGTGGGAGAAAGAGAGGGAGAGAAACATCAATGTGTGGTTGCTTCTCACAGGCCCCCTACTGGGGACCTGGCCTGCAACCCAGGCATGTGCCCTGACTGGGAATCGAACAGGTGACTCTTTGGCCCACAGGCCTGCACTCAGTCCACCCAGCCACACCAGCCAGAGCTCGTCTTTGGTAGTTTTTGAGCTTAAGAAACAAGTCTCCTTAAACCTCTGGAAAGCCTTGCTTCCGAAGCTGTGGCATTTCTGCAGCCCCCCCTCTCTTCCACCTCCCACGTTTTAGCCTATCTGCTGGAAAGTAAAGTCTTTGTGGGGGTTTATTCAGAGGCTGAGACGTTGGATAGAGTTTCACTTTTCTCAGAGATGGCCCCAGCTACACGGTTTGCCTTGCATCAGTCTTTCTGGCAGTGGTGACGTGTTGAGCTTCTGGCTGTACCTTTACTCAACTCTTCGCCAAGGTTCTCCAGAACTCCAGGGCCCCCACTGCTCTGGAAGAGCCCTGCAGGGCTCGCCCTGCTCTAGAGCAAGCCCCCCGCCTAGAACCATTCCAGAAACACAGAACGGGAGCTGGCCAGTGCTTGCTCTAGAACACACATCAGTTCCTGCCATCCTGAGGGCCCAGGAAAAGAGAAATATCTCTTCCGTAAAAGACCTCAACACTCAACACCAGAAGGAGTAGTTTCTGATTCCTGGGCCCTCTGCTATCCAGAAGTACTACTGCCATCCAGAAGTACTATTGCTATCTAGAAGTACTCTGGATATGTGCTGGGGACAACAGGTGGCCCGTTGTGCTTTGCAGAACTGTCATGATCCTTCCCCGACATTGCCGACCATCGGGAACATACTTTCCGGTGGTTCTAGAATGCTCAGGCAGTCACTGAAAGCCTCTCTTTCTCTGAAATTCCAGTCAACTAGAATCACTCTGGAAATGGAGGCCCGCCTGCTGCAAGACCGCCAGGAGCTGCTCGGCCTCTGGAGATGCATGATGCTGGCTCCAGATGGGTCAGACTATTCCAGATAGACTCCTCGGCAGTTTCTGGAGCGGGGACAAGTCAGCGTTAATGCCCACCCACTTGGGCAGGAAGGCGGCCTCCGGCTTGAAAATCTCGAGGAAGCTGGAGTAGGGCAGGGTGAAGTTGGCCAGGTAGACGACGTCCCCACCAGCCAGGTAGGCGGCCCAGAAACCGAAAGTGCCGATGGTCATGATGGTGTGGTTGCACTGCGTGAGCAGCGCGAAGTCCCGGCCCGGGGAGCCCTCCTGTCCGTCTCCGGCGAAGATCACGTCCCCCTGGGAAGTGTCGATGTTCTGCCGGCACCACTCCATGCCGTTGCTGGTGACCACAAAGATGGGGGCCTTGTGCCGGGCCCGGAACCAGTCCATGGCCTGCTGGAGGTAGGCGCGATCACCCACCACACCCTTCCACTGTTTGGGCATTACCTCCAGATAGTCCCCACGGCGCACGTGGACGCCCACGAAGGTGCACGGGGCAACCCCGGTGCCGGGCAGGCAGAGCCGTCTCAGGAAGTCCTGGGCCTTGTCCCGAAGGTGGTCGTGCAGGGTGAACTCCCTCCGGATCTGATCCCGGATGTGGTGGAAGAAAGTCCAGGAGCAAGGGAAGCCGGTGAGCTTCAGGAAAGGCTCCTGCAAGTGGGCGTACTCCTCCGACATCCAGTCGTGCAGGTCCAGCACCCGCCAGGGCGTGTCTCTGTCCACCTCGGGCGCCAGCACGGGCAGGGTGATGCGGAACACGGGGGCCAGGGCCGCGTGCATGGTGGGCAGGATGAAGGCCTGGCGGTTATTGAGCTGGGCCAGGGCCAGCAGAGTGGCGTACTGCCCCATCTGGTTACCGAACCGGCCAACCGGGCAGATGGTCCAGGTTCCTGAGAGGGAGGCAGGCTCTGTGAGACAGGGAGAGGAGGCGTTGGGGCTCCTTGGGGTGCCCGACAGGCAGAAGATGGCCACGGGGCTTGTCACCCGCCGTCGGCCCCCAAACAGGCCCAGGCCATTGTGAAAGAGGTCTTGCAAGATGTGGAGGAAGACAATTGATGCAAGAACACAGACTAGCAGGAAGGTCAGGCAGAGGTGACGTCGGCTGAGGGTCCCCATGGCTGCAGGACGGGGAAAAAATGAGTGAGCAGAAGCCCAGAGCCGGAGGGGAGGAGAGGCTCAAAGGAATGAGGGGCCTCAGAGTCCAGGACTCCCGGTTCTGAGGGAGGAGAAGCTGGAGGTTTGGAATTGGGGGGGGCGGGGATGCAGATGGTGAAAACCGGTGGTTTCCAAGAGAGCCACGGTCCCGGATCCTGCACCTGTGCCCCCATCTTTAGGGCCCACTGAAGTTGGGGGGTGTTCCACCGACTCCTTTCTCGCGTGTTCCTCCGCGTGAGTAATAGAATCCACCCAGGAGGTGTCAGGAAGCCAGAGGCAAATAGAAAGTCCTGGGCTGGAGGACCGGGGCTGATAGGGGATCTCGGTCTTGGGTGCAGGAGTAGCTGGGGAGTGAGGGTGGAGGCGACTCCTCAGGTCGCCTATAAAAGCTAGAGGCTGGGAGTGTGGGCTGGGTGTGGGGTATCCGCCCTTCTCACTAACCTGAGCTCCGGGCGGGGGGCGGGTGCCCCCTGGCCGTGGTGTGGCCCCAGCCCGCTGTCCTCGAGAGTAGTCTGCACCCGGCAGCCCCAGAACCGCAGACTCCGGGTTTCCAGGACCCGTGGGCCTGCGCTCCACGCCTCCTTGCTCAATTGGGGGCCAGGGCTCTGGGAGCCAGCGCGCTGGGCGCGGTCCGCTGGTTCACAGCTTCTCCCTCTCCCGGGCCAGGCAGGTAAGAGTGAGGCAGCGCCCCGCCCCTTCCCGCCGGGAGCCCAGCGATCCCAGCCCCCTTCTCCCGGGCACTGGGCCTCGTCCCGGCCAGCCTACCTGGCCACCCAGGATGCGCGCCCTTTGGTGGACCTGGAGATCCGGCGCCCAGATGCAATGCCGGACCCGGGGGATCCGTCGATCTCCCCCTCTTCTCCAGTGCCTGGGCTCACCTTGTCTCCACTGCGCCTGGATGCGCCCAGCTCGGCCTCGCCCCAGCGGCTTGGGGTGGGGCCCCGATACAGGTCCAGCGAGGAGGGGCGGGGCGCGGCGCAGTGCGGTTCCAGACCGACCGCGTCCTCCCCGTGAGCCTGGAGAACCTGTTTGCCCGGCCGCTGCGGGAGCGGATGCACAGCCTCCTCCGGCTCTGAGAGTGAGACCTGAAGGTGTCCCCGCGCCCACCAGGGACCGCTGACAGCCCCGCCCCTGGCCAGAGTCACGGCCCCCAAGCCTCTCCTTTGAGGAGACTCTGCGCACCCCACCCACCCAGCCACAGGAGTCTGAACCAAAGGCTCCAGAACTGGAGGAGGCTCTCAGGCACTTGATCATAATGCCCCCCACGCCCAGGGCTGGATCTGGGGGTCCTCAGACTGAGAAGAGTCCAGGCCTCCCTGGGGCACCTTCTTCCTTCACAACGGGGTGTCCACTCTCTTCACCCTCAGGTTTCAAGAAATCGCCCATCCTTCACTGGCTTCCAGCCCTTGGGTCTCACTGTTACCACCGGACGGGGGGGCTGGCCCTGAACGGGTCTGCCTAGGGTGGGCAGGCAGCGTGTGGGTTCTTGACTTTCTGTATGTAGCAAAGATTCCACAACACGAGTCCCGGGAGGGTACGTTTAGTGAGGTGAGAAAGGGCTTAGGATGGAGGGAGCAACTGGAGAGGGACCAGGGAGGGAAATGAGCCTGGGCTGGGCTGCTTTGGCTCACTAGGCAACCAGAGAAAAGGGGGCCTGGGGGGCCTGGCAGGGCGGCTCAGAGGGCTGCAGCAGCATCTCAGTGCACCGAGGTTGCCGGTTCCATCCCCCTGTCAGCTTATACAAGGGCTGCCCAGTGAATGAATGCATGGACAGGTAGAGCGGCAGCTCAGTATTTCTCTCTCCCTCTCTCTTCCTTCCTTTCTCTCTAAAACCAATTTTTAAAATTTTAAAGGGGGTCTGGAGCTTGGGGACAGGGTCGGGGGAGAGCCCAGGAGGAGCTGCCTCCGCCCATTGCTCCCTAATTGCAAGCCTGGTGGGGGCCCCGCAGCTTGGGAGGTGCTTCCTGTGAGGGAATGAGAGGGGAGGGAGGAGAGGGGGAAGGGAATGGCGTGGGCCTGATCCCTGGAGGGAGAGGCTGCAGGAACCTTCGTTTTGAAGAGTTTTAGAGGCTGGGGGCTTGGGTGGAACTTGGGAAGGATAATAGCCAATAGAATATTCATCAGCATTATGCTGATGTCCCCGAAGGAGACTTAGTCCCTTTAGTCCACACAGTCCTTGGGTGTGGCTAGCACAGCCTGGGTCTCTGCTGTCCCCCTGCGTAGGGCGATTTACACTGCTGACCCTCCGGTGGAGAAGCGCCCACCATTTACTCTTAAGTGTCTTCGGTTTAGGGAAGGTACCATTTATTCAGCAGCTGCCGACTGCTTGGTATCTAAGGTTACCACTTAGCTGCAAGCTGCTTGTGTAAGTAGCTGTCTCAGTTTCCCCATTCCGCTTGTCCTGGTTCACTAGCCTGTCTTGTAAATTCCATGTCCGCGGCCCCGCTCACCTGCCGACTGGGAGTTGGAGACACCCACCCACGCAGGCCGCTGTGGGAGCGCTTGTCTGGGCCTGAAGTAGCTTCTCTTATGAAAGAACAGCTGGGATTGCATCAGGGAGAAAGCGCTCTGGGTGTTTGATACACCAGCGCCTGGGCAGGGGCTGGGGAGCTTGAGATGGGAGGCTTCGGGGTCAGAACGCCCGTGTCTTTGCAGAGAACACTTTGGTCCTGTGTCACTGACTGATTTGCCGATGACGGAGGATCCTCGATGTCTGACCCCAGAAACCTAGAAATTCAGGTGGAAGGCAGAAACTCCTGTGATGGGATGCGGTCCGCAAAAGTCATTCAGGAAAGCAGGGCCCCAGCCCCTCACCCCCCCACCCAGGAGTCCGGGCCCCCAGCACCTCCCCCCTTGGACCCAGGAGTCAGGGCCCCCAGCCCCTCCTCCCTCAACCAGGGATCCGGGGCCCCCCAGCCCCTCCCCCCTCGGATCCAGGGATCTGGGGCCCCCAGCACCTCCCCCCTCGGACCCAGGAGTCAGGGCCCTCAGCCCCTCCTCCCTCAACCAGGGATCCGGGGGCCCCCAGCCCCTCCCCCCTCGGATCCAGGGATCTGGGGCCCCCAGCACCTCCCCCCTTGGACCCAGGAGTCTGGGCCCCCAGCACCTCCCCCCTCAGACCCAGAAATCCGGGGCCCCCAGCCCCTCCCCCCTCGGATCCAGGGATCTGGGGCCCCCAGCCCCTCCCCCCTCGGACTCAGGAGTCCGGGCCCCCAGCACCTCCCCCCTCAGACCCAGGAGTCCGGGCCCCCAGCCCCTCCCTCCTCAGACCCAGGAGTCCGGGCCCCCAGCCCCTCCTCCCTCAACCAGGGATCCGGGGGCCCCCAGCCCCTCCCCCCTCGGATCCAGGGATCCGGGGCCCCCAGCACCTCCCCCCTCGGACCCAGGAGTCTGGGCCCTCAGCCCCTCCTCCCTCAAACCAGAAATCCGGGGCCCCCAGCCCCTCCCCCCTCGGATCCAGGGATCTGGGGCCCCCAGCCCCTCCCCCCTCGGACTCAGGAGTCCGGGCCCCCAGCACCTCCCCCCTCGGACCCAAGGGTCCCAGCCTCCAGCCCTCCCCGCTCAGACTCCGGAGTCCGGGCCCCCACCGGGCAGGACCACCTGATTGCATCAGCAGTTCAGGCTGACCTAGCCACGGTGGAATCCTTGTTGCTGCCAAGTGGGTGAAATATCACCAGTCAGGTGAACGGACGGTGATTGGGCCCGTCTGTCAGGATATAAATTCCGCAGCTTCTGCATCTGTCCCAAGAGACTTGGGTGTCTCTCGGCTGGGAACCCACGTGCGTTTGGACCGCCCGAGCGGCCCTCGGCGCATCCGCTCCCTCAGCCCGCCAGCCTCCGAGACAGCATCTAGACCCAGCAGCGACTCGGACTGCAGGTTCCGAACTTCACCGAGGACGTGAGCCATTGATGGGCTGGGACAAGACCCGGTTCCAGTGCCCGGGACGGTGGGTCCCCGTGCTGGCTGTCCTGCTGGGAGCCTGTCAGGCATACCCCATCCCAGACTCCAGCCCCCTCCTCCAATTTGGGGGCCAAGTCCGGCGGCGGTACCTCTACACAGATGACGCCCAGGAGACGGAGGCCCACCTGGAGATCAGGGCGGACGGCACGGTGGCGGGGGCCGCCCGCCGCAGCCCCGAAGGTGAGCGTCTGGGCGGGGACTGAGCCCGAGGCGGGAGGGGCCGGGGGCCTGGAGTGCTGGGGCCAGGAAAAGGGGGTCCGAGTCTCTCACTGCTTTCTCCCCTCAGGTCTCTTGGAGCTCAAAGCCCTGAAGCCAGGTGTCATTCAGATCTTGGGAGTGGAGACTTCCAGGTTCCTGTGCCAGAGGCCAGATGGGACCCTGTACGGATCGGTGAGTTCCCGGGATGGCTCTCTACTGACTCTGTCGTGTCTCCCATCTCCTCCACCACCGGTCTGGGTGAGCTTAGGGTCTGAGCCCTCAGCGCAGCCCGATTTCACCGAAACCCGTGAAGGTGGGGCCGGTTGCCATCAAAGCTTGCAGGAAAGGGAAACTGAGGCTCAGGCAGCAACACCCCTGGCCCCAAGTCACGAGGCCACTGAATGGCACAGTGGCCTGAAAGACCAAGTCTTGAGTCTCGTAACCCAGGGTGGTGACCCCACGGGCTTCTACGTGCTGGGCACGAGGTCACTCAAGGAAACTGTACTGTGACCACGGCCTCAGGGAGGGGTGGCCAGACCCCCCTGCTCTGCCTGGGAGAGGTTTGACTATTCCCTGGGCCGCAACGTTCCTCTTTGTGAGGTGGGGACAGGAAGGGGGCCTTGCAGGACCGACCACCCAGGGGCGCCCTAGAGGTTGGGGTGGGAGGCCGGGACCCCCCAGGCAGAAGGCGTGGCAGTGTCTCTGATCTCTGGTCTTGTCCCCTCAGCTCCACTTCGACCCCGAGGCCTGCAGCTTCCGGGAGCTGCTGCTGGAGGATGGATACAACATCTACCATTCGGAGGCCCACGGCCTCCCGCTGCGCCTGGGCCCCCGAAGATCCCCATCCTGGGACCCGCCCCACCGGGGGCCCGCCCGCTTCCTGCCGCTGCCAGGCCTGCCCCCAGAGCCCCCGGAGAGTCCAGGGGTCCGAGCCCCCGGCCCCCCGGACGTGAGCTCCTCGGACCCCCTCAGCATGGTGTGGCCTTCCCTGGGCCACAGCCCCAGCTACGCATCCTGAAGCCACAGGCCGCCTTTGACTGGGTCTCCTCTTTATTTATTGTGTTATTTATCTTATTTATATTTTTACTTTTCTTACTTGAAATAATAAAAAGTCTGAAAGGAAGATCAGAGTGAGCGTGTGTGTTTGAAGAAGGAAACGGGATCTGCTTTCCCTTCCCCCCGTTGACCCCCCAAGGGCCCCTGGCTCCCCCGCACCAGGCCTCAGCTTTCTGGGCCCATCAGGTGTCCCCAGGGACCCTGGACTACCCAGCCCTTGGACAGGACAGAGCTTATCCCCACCCATTCTACCCCCAACCTCCAGTTTGTGCTGTGGAACTATTTCTCAGAGGTACCACAATAACGGGATTTATTTGTTTTCACAGGAGACTATTTTTAAGGACACTGAAGGCCCACAGCCTCATGGGAGATGTAGTTTTCTGGGTTCAAGTAGCACTAGAAATGGGACAACACCTTGGGTCCTCAGCGCTGGGGCAGGTCTCTTGGATTCTGGGGGAGTTATTGGTGCCGGCATGGCACTCATGGGTCTTGAAGGACCAGAGGGCCAGACATCTGGACATGGGAGTCCCAGGAGAACAGGGGACTAGGAACCCAGACACTCTAGTTTGAGGAAGGGACAGGGGCCCAGACAGGTGGTCTGAGGGTGGGGGAACTGGAGATTGGGGGTCCTGGGTCTCAAGAAGAGGGCTTGAAGGTCTGAATGCTTCTACCCAGGTCCCCATGGACTTTGGAGTGTCATGGCCATGGACAGGCTTCCCCAGAGGGGAGCTCTAACCAAACACCAAAAAGAGGAGAGAACTAGGCACTGTGAGAGCGGCACCGTGGTCCGACCGCTACAGGCAGTCGGACCACGAAGCGTAAATGTATCACGTGAACACGGCGCACGCCCCCTCCAGGGCGGAGGATCCGAGGGGACTTCGGCCTCCGCTGCACCTCCCGCAGTTTCCTCTGCTCCCTGTGCTGGGGCTGGTTTGGCCCCACCCATGTGTGTTTCGGGTTCGTGGATCTGCGTGGTCGGTGGCCTGAGTGGAAGATGTTCTCTGTGAACTCTTGCTCTCCTGCTTGTTCCATGTGGGATTTTCGAAGGTGGGATTTAGGAGGATCAAGAAACTGTGGGGCTGCCTTAAGCAGGTGGCTCAATTGGTTGGGTCATTGTCCCGTAAACGGAAAGGTCTCTGGTTTGACCCCCCATCAGGGCACGTGCTTGGGTTGTGGGTTTGATTCCTGATCAGGACATACACGGGAGGCAACCAACTGACGTTTTTCTCTCTCTCTCCCGCCCTCCCTTGCTCCATTCTTCTGAAATATATATATAAAACTATGCTGCCTTGGCTGGTGTGGTCACCAGTTCGATTCCCAGTCAGGGCACATGCCTGGGTCCCCAGTTAAGGGGCGCTCCAGAGGCAACCACACACTGATGTTTCTCTCCCTCTCTTTCTCCCACCCTTCCCCTCTGTCTAAAAAATAAATAAATAAAGTCTTAAAAAAATAGCTGTGCTTTTTAACTTGAATCTAATAGCAAGGAAACATCAAACAAATTCCAACAAAGGGACCTGATGCTAGACAATTGGCCTTGACTCTTCAAAAGTGTCAAGGTCAAGAAAGAGAAAGACTGAGGAACTGTCCCCAAGAACGGGGACCAGAGAGACAGCTGCACCTAATGCAGTTTGGGGGGGGGACCCATTTCCTGTCCCGGACATTCGTACGGCACTCGATGACATTTGGATGCCTTCTATGCATTAAACAGTAGTAATTTATCCATGTTCAAGTTTCTGATTATGACCATCGAATTGCGATTATTACGAAGAATGTCCTTGTCCTTAGCAAATACACACCCACGTATTTAGGGACAAAGGGACGTGGTATCGCCAATGTTATCTCAAATGTTCCTGGGAATGTAAACATAAAAAGATAGCGAGGGAACAGTAGAGCAAATGGGGGCAGGAATGGCGAGAATTGGGGGACCTGGGTAAAAAAAATATACGGACTTCTTTGTACAAGGCTTGACATTTTCTGTAAGTTCAAAATGACATCAAGTTAAATTAGATAACACCGCAGGCCTCTCAAAATGCAGGCACGAGCTTATAAGAAGCAGGAGAAATCTCTAGGTGCCCCACCCCAACCAAAGATGAAAGAAAGAAAGAAAGAAAGAAAGAAAGAAAGAAAGAAAGAAAGAAAGGAAGGAAGGAAGGAAGGAAGGAAGGAAGGAAGGAAGGAAGGAAGGAAGGAAGGAAGGAAGGGAAAGAAAGAAAGAAAGAAAGAAAGAAAGAAAGAAAGAAAGAAAGAAAGAAAGAAAGAAAGAAGATGAAAAGAAAGGAGCAGAAGGGACCAGCACAAGAAGGAAAAAGAAACCCTAAGACTGACCTGCAGTTTCCTGGGCCAGGAACGTGTGTCCCAAGGCTAAGCCCAAAGGCCACCACCTCAGTGAATGGCAAGTGGTTAAAATCCTACGAACCTGGATGCAATGGGATGTTGTTCCACCTTAAAAGGAAAGCAAATTCCACCCTGGCCGATTGGCTCTGTTAGCTGGAGCATCCTCCCATAATTGAAAGGTGGTGGGTTTGATTCCTGGTCAGGACATGCCCCTAGGTTGTGGGTTCGATCCCTGGTCCCACTTAGGGGAGGAGGCTACGGATCGATGTTTCTGTCCCTCCCACCCTCTCTCTAAAAGCAATTTTTAAAAATGTCCTTGGGTGAGGATTAAAACACTTGTTTGTAAATAAAAGTAATTTCTTTTTTTTTTTTTTAGTTTTTAAAAAATATTTTATAAATTTATTTTTCGAGAGAGGGGAAGGAAAGAAGAAAGAGTGGGAGAGAAATGTCAATGTATGGTTGCCTCTCATGCATCCCCTGCTGGGACCTGGCCTGCAACTCAGGCATGTGCCCTGACTGGGAATCGAACCGTGATATTCTGGTTCACAGGCCTGCGCTCAATCCACTGAGCTACGCCAGCCAGGGCTCTTTTTTTTTTTTTAAAGGGAAAGGAATGCTGATGCATGAGACCACATGGATGAACCTTGGAAACATTCCGCGAGCCCTGATATGTGCGTGTCCGTTCGCTGGAGCATTGACCCGAACGCTGGAAAGGGCAGGGCAGGGCGCATGCCTGGGCGTGGGGAGGGCTCGGTCCCCAGGTGGGGCGACCGGTCGATGCTTCTTTCTCACATCGATGTTTCTGTCCCTCTCTCTCTCTCCCTCCCTTCCCCTGTCTCTAAAGTCAATAAGCATGTCCTCTGGTAAAAATAAACACACCCACGCACACACACATTTTACTAAGTGAAAGAAAAGCAGCCAGACACACATGGACAGAGACTGTACGAGTCCACTGATAAAGAAGCATCTAGAGCCCTGGCTGGTGTGGCTCTGTGGACTGAGCACCAGCCTGTAAACCAAAGGGTCGCCAGTTCAATTCCCAGTCAGGGCACATGCCTGGGTTGCTGGCCAGGTCCCCAGTAGGGGGCGCTTCAGAGGCAACCACGCATAGATGTTTCCGTCCTTTTCTCTCTCCCTCCCTTCCCTTCTTTCTAAAAATAAATAAACAAAATCTTTAAAATATTATAACATTAAAAATATATATATAAGATAGAAATAAAAATAGGAAATAGGATGGTGGGTGCCAGGGGCTGGGGGAAGACGAGGAATGGAATGCCATTGAACGGGCAAAGAGTTTCAATGTGGGAGGAGGAGAAAGTTCTGCAGACAGATGATGGCCGCACAGCAGTGTGAATGTATTTAAACCACTGAACTGTACACCTAAAACTGGTTAAACTGGGCCGTGAGAAAGCAAAAGGTCACCAGTTCAATTCCCCATTTCCCCATCAGGGCACATGCTGGAGGCGACTGATCCATGTTGCTCTCTCATACGGACGTCTCCCTCCCTCTCTTTCTCTCTCCCACCCCCTCTCTCTAAAAATCAATGAATAAGTACTAACAATTAATAGCTTGAAATTTTAAAAATGCCTACAATGATAAATACTGTTATGTGTGTGTCTCAACACACACACACACACACACACACACACACACAATCCGCCAAACTGCGCTAAGAAAACTTCAGAAGGACCCCCTGTCACTGTTCGGGTTCTGAGTGAGTCAAAACGACCCTCCTCCTGTGGAAAACTGTGCGGCCACGGGACGGCCACATGCAGACCGCGTGCCTAAGCCTGGGAACCTGCTGGAATGGCTGTGGGGCTGGCCATGGCTCCGGGGCTGCTGGCCAAAGCAAAGGTCTCTCTGGAGAGATGCCACTCAACTCTATCACAGAGGAAGTCCTGGGTGAGTTCATACTCCAAAGTCACAGAGTTTACGAGGAGCCGAGGCGCGTGGCGGGTGCCTGCAGTAACGTTGAGCAACCCTGGACCGCCCCGCCTAGCAACGACGGTAGCGCGGAACAGGCAGGGAGAAAAGGACGGTTCAAGATTTGTGTTTTGAATCCTCTCCGAGGATTTGTTTTGTTGATTTTACAACAAAAGGGAGGGACACGGAGAGAGAGCCATCGATCGATGTGAGAGAGAAACGTCTATTGGTTGCCTCTCATACCTGCCCCAAGTGGAGATCCAGTTGGCAGGTTTTGGTGCCGTCAGGGCCCCGTGTCTGTGATGTGTGTGTACGAATTACCTTCTTTGCAGAAATGTCTACTCCAGTCCCTTGCCGATTTTTAAAATCAGGTGATTGGTTGTTGTGGTGGTTGAGTTGCAAAAGCTCTTTATATATTCTGGCCATGAATTCCCTCATCAAATAGATGATATTTTTCAATACGCAAATATTGGAAAAATATATATGCAAATATTTTTAAATATGCAAATATTTTCTCCCACTCCATTTTTTTTTGAATTTTCAGTAAAAGTTTTAGATTTGGATATAGTCCAATTTACCTATTTTTACTTCCGTTGCCTGTGACTTTGCTGTCACGGCCTAAAAATCCTTGCTAAATCCAATGGCATGAGGCTGTTTCCCTTAGAGAAGCTTTTATTTAAGAGCTTTAGTTTTAGGTCTTACATTTAGGTTGCTTGTTTCACTTGAGTTAATTTTTGCACAACTGT